TTCTGCAGCGTATTAAACCTTCCCATATTTTCTCCGTACCAAGTAGCATAGAATATTGCAAAAACAACCTTCGATCAAGTTAATTTTGTGCAGGAAAAAGTAGTTCTTGGATCCGTCAAAACCATCGTCAACCCACAAACCGAAAAATCGTCTCGCGTTTTACAGTTCCCCTATCCTCGAGAAAAAGGCAACCCCCGGATCTCTCATCGTCCATTATCCGTATGACAGAAGCACAAAAAGACTTCAGAGAAAAAGCCAGGGCCATACTCGTGTCCGCAAATCAACTTGTCTCTTTTCTTTCTTCACCCTTTTGTCAAACTTGTATAGGGGTGTGGTCAACCATTATCTATCTGCCCCTTTTTATGCTCTGTATTCTTCCTTCTCCTGCAATTCATTAACTGCTACGATTGGGACAACATTCTCAGTTTCCTTAATTATGCTTCTCTCACTCTCATTTCATTACTAAATGAAGAGTACTCACCTGCCTTATCTGGTCTTGCCTTCTTCAGTTTCAATCCAGTTGAGCACCCTTCGACTTTGGTTATCTGGGTCAATTCTTCGGGTGGCTGTGCTTCAATTTATGTCCACGGTTTTTGACGCTGTTCATTGGCTTTGAAATCTGAACAAAGAAGATTCCGGCGGGAGGTGAAGATTTTTGCGTCTGTAAATTTATCCTTTGCTCGTGTTCATATTTGCCCCTGGCACTTGTCAGCTGTCTCTCTCGCGGTCGGTGACGGACACGATTTCGTTTTCTTCAAGGCAAGCTTCAAGTTCCAATAGGCACTGAAAAGTAAGCGAAATTCGCCGTCAAAAGTTGTTCCCTTTCTTCCATAGTGCTCTGGTCGTAGAATTCACACCCTTAGTTTCAGTTCTTATTGGTTCAATTCCGAAAATCTGACTCGTGAATCATCTGTGGGACAGGTATCTCTTCTTCAAACCTTCGGATCTTCTTTTCTCTGCTCAGAATACGATTTCGACAGTTTTGTTCCCGGTTCGCGACTTTAAATTCCCCTAAATAGTAACAGCTTTTCGGAGACTTGTAATAGGAGCCATGAAAAGAACCTGGTCTTTCATCCATATCATCGGCGTTCTTGGCCTGTCTAGTCTACTCTTGTCTGAAATCTGTCTGGCTGGCATTCAGAGCATCGGCTCTATCACTCCAGGATTTCAAGGCACTCAAATGAATTGGATTGACAAAAACGGCATGTTTCTCGTGTCAAATAATGGAGAATTTATGTTTGGCTTCATCACTACCCCGAACGACAACTCATTATATCTTCTAGTAATCGCCCACGGTGACAACTCCAAAGTTGTTTGGACGGCAAACAGAGGCCTCCCTGTTAGTAATTCTGATAATTTTGTGTTCGACAAAACCGGTAATGTCTTTCTACAGAAAGGAAGCGATGTGGTTTGGTCTACAGATACGAAGGGCAAAGGGGTTTCTTCAATGGCATTACAGGACACAGGAAACTTGGTGTTGCTTGCTGACGATAATAGTACAATTTGGCAGAGTTTCGGCCATCCAACTGACACCTTATTGTCAATGCAGGAATTCAAAGAGGGCATGAAACTTATCAGTGAACCTGACCAATATAACTTAACCCACGTTCTGGAGATCAAATCTGGTGATTTTGTTCTCTCTGCTGGTTTTCAAAACCCACAGCCTTATTGGTCTATGCAGAACGAGGACCGCAGAATCATCGATAAAGATGGTAACGCGGTGGCTTCGGCCTCCATTAGCGCAAATTCGTGGAGGTTCTATGATAAAAATAAATCTTTGTTATGGCAGTTCATTTTGGCTGAAGATTCATCAGGCACAAATTCCACTTGGGCTGCTGTTCTGGGAAGTAATGGTTTCATCACTTTCTCTAATCTCGACAGTGGAAGTTCAAATAATCCCTCGCCAACAAAAATCCCAAAAGATTCTTGCAGCACACCTGAACCTTGTGGTCCTTATACCATATGCACGGATGATAACAAGTGTCGTTGCCCTTCGGCTCTGAGATCTCGCGCCAATTGCAAACCAGGGATTGTCTCTCCTTGCGATGGCTCAAATGGATCCGCGGAGCTTGCGGAAGGTGATGATGGGCTTGGTTACTTCGCTCTTGGATTCCTTTCACCATCCTCCAAAACTGATTTGGATGGCTGCAAATCTTCCTGCCTGGGAAATTGCTCATGCCTTGCTATGTTCTTCCACAACAATTCAGGGAACTGTTTCATGTTGGATAGTATAGGAAGCTTTGAGAGTTCTGACACAGATTCAGGTTTTGTTTCTTACATTAAGGTCTCGAGTAACGGAGGATCTGGCTCTTCAGGAGGTGGAAGCAGCAAGAAGCACACTGTGGTGGTTGTAGTTATTGTCATAACAACTTTGCTTGTCATTTTCGTTTTGTTCTATGTGGGACTTAGATACTACAGAAGAAAGCAAAAATCGCCTGAGTCTCCAAGGGGGAGTTCAGAAGAGGACAATTTCTTGGAGAATCTTACTGGTATGCCTGTCCGTTTCAGCTATAAAGAACTGCAAACAGCTACTAAGAACTTCTCTGAGAAGCTAGGGCATGGAGGTTTTGGCTCAGTTTATAAAGGAGTTCAACCAGATGGGACTCTATTAGCTGTGAAGAAGCTGGAAAGCATAGGCCAAGGGAAGAAAGAGTTCAGGGCTGAAGTTAGCATCATTGGCAGCATTCATCATCTTCATTTAGTTCGGCTTAAAGGATTCTGTGCTGAAGGAACTCATCGCCTTCTTGCTTATGAGTTTATGGCAAATGGCTCATTGGATAAATGGATATTCAAGAAAAACGGAGAATTATTGTTGGATTGGGATACGAGGTTTAATATAGCTTTGGGCACAGCAAAAGGGCTTGCGTACCTGCACGAGGATTGCGATTCAAAGATTGTTCACTGTGACATCAAACCAGAAAATGTTCTTCTTGATGAGCATTTCCTTGCGAAAGTTTCAGACTTTGGGTTGGCTAAACTCATGACTCGCGAACAAAGCCATGTTTTCACAACACTAAGGGGAACCAGGGGATATCTTGCACCAGAATGGATCACAAACTATGCCATATCGGAGAAAAGCGATGTGTATAGCTATGGGATGGTGTTGCTAGAGATAATTGGTGGTAGGAAAAATTATGACCCTAACGAGTCTTCAGAGAAATCCCACTTCCCAACCTTTGCTTACAAGATGATGGAAGAAGGGAAGTTAAAAGATCTTCTTGATTCAAAGTTGAAAATAGATGAGAATGATGAAAGGTTTCATATTGCCATCAAAGTTGCATTGTGGTGCATACAGGAAGATATGTCTCTAAGGCCTTCCATGACCAAAGTGGCTCAGATGCTTGAGGGTCTCTGTACTGTTCCTAAGCCACCATCGTCTTCTCCAATGGGTTCTCGCCTGTACTCGTCTTTCTTCAAATCTATGAGTGAAGGTGGCACCTCCTCAGGACCATCAGATTGCAATAGTGATGCATATCTTTCAGCAGTTAGGCTTTCGGGACCAAGATAAAATTGTACCTTTTTCTGGTTTTGTTGAGCCATTCTTGTATATGGTTCCACAGTATTTTTGTATACTTTGGTAGTTACTCGAATTTTGTAATGTGAATTCCCACTCATCTAACACATTATTGCTTTGTGCGCTGTGTTGAAAGTTGAAATTTGAGATACAAGCATTTACGTGCTGTTAAATGTGGCAATTTTGTGTTCCACAGAATTGCCAAAGATGGAGAAGAAATTAAAAGAGCCGACCCTTATTAAAAACACAGCTAATTAAGTGCTTAGTGCTGACTCAATTGAGGCAGAAGACAAGTCAATCTCAACAACCATTTATCATCCTGCTTGTCTGTTGAACTTATGCCTAATTACATTTTGGACTTTTCTAATCTGTCCCTTGTGTTATGGACACTGTGGAGACTGCACTATCTTTGATCATACTCAATTAAATCCTAATCAATCCTCTCCACTCAAACTTCTAAGGCTTCTGAAACGAGAAAGGAAATATATATATATAATCAAACATAAACATAAATGCCCTGTGAAGCGTCAGTGGGTTTGGACGCTTGCATATTCTCATTAGCTGTTTAAGGATTAGAAGCTTCGATCCTTTATGCGCCAAATGTTTAAAATCCTTGCGGCTAGTCCATTCCTAATGGCTCGTTTGTTTGCTGTCGTTAAATTCTTCATTTTCTAACAGACTATCTGATGCTATGCATTTTAGTTTTTATTTAATAAGCTTAGAATCCATTTTTTCCCCTGCCAACAAGCTTTGAATCCGATTAACCGCATCAACGATTTTGACATGTATCCACAAAAAATATGTACTCTCTTTAATTTTTAATATAAGATGTTGTTTTACTTTTATTTTGATCCTAAATATAAGACTCCAATCTGTTTTGTTTATCATATTTATTCATTTTTTCAAATATAATTCTTCTAATAATTATAGTTCTAATCAATATACTTGATTAGTAAGGTTATTTTAGAAAAGACAATACCTATTTATTACAAATAACTAACTGAACTTATTTCTTTTATCTTTTCAAATTAGTCAACTAGCTCTTATAATTGGACCGGAGGTAATATATAATTTATAAATGAGTTAATATAATTTTTGGTTTCTTAGATTAGTCTTCATTTTGATTTTAATCCCTCAAGTTTTAAATAATATGTTTTGATCCCTCAAGTTTTTCCTATTTTGATTTTGATTTCTCAATGTTCAAATGATCGGTTTTGATTCTTCAAATTTCAAATCATAAGTTTTTCATATAAAATATTAGTCCCTATAAGTTTTTCATATAAAATATTAGTCCCTATAAAAATCCTTTTTGAAAATCATATTCTTTTTGAAAAATCATACTAAATGTTTAATTTTGCACGCATATTTTTTGGATAAAAAGATAATATTCCAAACTTTAAATGACCTGAGCGGGGTTCCCTCGTGCTGGCGCGGATTAAAAACAAAGACATGCCGAGAAGGCGCTAAAGCGGTGCAAGGGGGCAATTCATTCTCTGCCGTCCATTGGTGATATGGATTCAATTTTCTCCATCTCTAGCCATTCTCTCCTTGGCTCTACTGTTACCTCTTCCTTCTCCCAAATCGATTTTCCCGCCAAATCACAACGGTCGTTTTCGGCGACGCCCAAGTTTCGCTCACACAGGGCCGACGAGTGTGCTGCTGGTGAAGTTATCTTTCTGAACCTTGCTTAATTTTTCAGGATTCGAATATCTCCTGTGTGTGTTGCGTTTGCAATTTACGTCCTCGTATCGCAGGTCATATCGCCTTATCTGCTTCAACTAGCGGAAGGAGAGGGCTACTATTTATGGCCACACTTCCATGTCTTCTTCCTTTAACTCAAATCATGGATTGTCATGGAGCAAGTGCGATCGAGTAAGCTGAGCTTTCTGTTTATGGTTTTTCTTTATCGGCTTTAATTTCTTGACTCTGGCTAGAAAATGCCTTCCGACCTTCCTCCCTTTCAACAAATGAATACGATTTGTAGTAAGTTCCATCCAGCTAAGTTTCCCTTTTGCATTATCATGCCGGATGGATGCTCATTGCTGTGCTACTCTTTTATTCTGATTTAAGGTCAGGTACAAAGGAATATCTGCTTATAAAAGAAGAAGTCCGCAAGGTATTGTCGAAGGGAAAGGCAGCAGGTGTGCTTCGTCTGGTTTTCCATGACGCTGGGACCTTTGAAATGGATGATAATGCAGGTTCGCATCTGAGGGACGTTTCTCCCCAAAAAAAAAAAAAAAGTTCTTGTCTCATGCTTATTCGTTTCCTGGTATAAATAATTTATATTTCGTGTCATTGCAGGTGGCATGAATGGTTCTATAGTCTATGAACTTGATAGACCTGAAAATTCTGGACTAAAAAAATCTATAAAGGCATGTTTCATCTGTCTATTGTTCCTTATGGCCCCTATTTTTTCCGTAATAACATGATTGTATCTTTTATAGATGAAGTTAATCGCTTGTGCATGAACAGTGAATGCAGATTAGTCTTCTATTTTATATGCTGGCTAATGCCATGGTGGATATATTGTGTAGGTTCTGCAAAAAGCGAAGACTCAGATAGATGCTATAAAAACAGGTCATTATTGTTTTCTCTGTTAACAGGTGCTAAAACATGTGCAGTAATTATTGATTTGATCCAGGCCAACAAATTTTATTTTTGGTTTTCTCTATCAGTGTCCTGGGCAGACATGATTGCTGTGGCTGGAGCTGAAGCAGTTTCTGTGTGTGGGGGACCAAAGATCCCAGTTTCAGTTGGCAGGCTAGATTCATTGTAAAGTGCCAAGTGCTTAGCTTGTATGCAAGATGTGACTACCAATTTGTTTTTACCGTTGTATCCCACAAATGATCAGTTACATGTGAACTTGATGAAATGGATTCAGATGCTTTCTAAAATTGATGTTCAAGCCTATTATATGGATCATCCTTTTTCAATTAAAAAAATATCGTCCTTCTTCACATGAGAAGAAAATGGTTTGATGGGATTTAATTCATGGATTGTTTACTTACAAATGAGAACCAGATTGTGTGCCTTCTGCTAGTAATATTCCATCTTTTTATGGATAGGGAGCCAGATCCGGAAGGGAAACTTCCTGAAGAATATCTTGATGCTTCTGGTTTGAAGAAATGCTTCCTGAGAAAAGGCTTTTCGTAAGTAGGAAGTCCCATTTATTTTGGCATTTGCCGTGTGTAGTGGTGATTGCCTGTAGTTTTCCATTTGATGTGACCTTGAAGGACAATAAAATGAGTTGATGCTAAGTTCTGATTTTTTTATTAGTTACATACTATGAAAGCAGTGTTTTGATTATCCATCATTTATTATGGATTCTTGGTATGGGTGAATCTGACATCTTGAAGTCTTGATCTTTACCAGAGTAACAAAGGAAATTTATTATTTTACTTTGCTTGTGTATTATTGATTGATGACGGGGCTTTTCTTGCCCAGAACACAGGAACTAGTAGCGTTGTCTGGAGCCCACACGCTTGGTAGTAAAGGTTTTGGAAGCCCAACTTCTTTTGACAACTCATATTACAAGGTTCTTCTGGAGAAGCCATGGACGTCTTCAGGTAAAGTAAGAAATTCATCAAATTAATTTGAAAGCTTGTTTTGGTATTTTGAGAGAAGTTGCTACCAGCTACTATTTTCCAAGTCCTGCAAATGAAGAAAAGCAAAAGGAAAACGAGGTATCAAGTAGACTTACTACAGCATCAATGGTTAGCCTGCTTTGGGTCATAGTGTACCAATCATCCTACAAAATGAAGATCATTCCATGTCATCACACACTCATTTTCTGTGTGGCCGGACATACTCATTACCTAAGTGCTATTGTCAATAATTTTTGTTGTTGTTTTGACGTTCTTCTGCTGTTCTCTTCTGTACAGGCGGTATGTCAGGTATGATTGGCCTTCCTTCAGATCACGCACTTGTTGAGGATGAGGAATGTTTAAGGTTCTCGTCTAAACACTGCCTTCTTTTTCTTTTTTTTTTTATCCCCGGGATTAGAACAGGGCTAAACTAGCCTTGTAAGATATTGAACCCCCAACCTCCCCCAAGCAAGGAGATTGCCCCTAGGGCAATGCGCTCATGTGCGTCTAAATACTGCTCTAAACCACCCATAATATGTGGTACTTACCTCAGATCACTCACTCCTAGTTGTTACAATTACATTATAATATATCAATACCAATATAAAATATAAAATCTATAATAAGTCATGCTATCCATAAGTTATAAATAGTTCAATTTATTTCACATGGTCCATACACTGCGTGGATAAATGTGTTTACATATAGTATAAAATGTTAGGGTTCTTTATGATAGTATTGAAGAATGATTTTATTTTGCTGCTTATATATATATTTTTTTGGCTCCTGGTTGAAGAATGAACTTTGAATGAAGTTTACTTTACACGCCGGTTATAAGTTAAAAATAATGAAAAATAAGAAATATTTCCCACTTTCCTTTCACTCCACTAAATAATCATATATGCAATTTTCCCATCAATCGAGCAAAGTATGAGTACAGGAACTTGAACTTGTTTTTGCCAATTCTTCATCTGTAATACTCTGTTTATATTCCTCCTCATTTATTTTCTAGTTCAAATTTAAAATATCAGTTTGTTGGGCCGCATGTTTCAAGTGCTTATAGAATGGTTGGCTGTTGGGTCAGGACTTTTGGGGCTTTACGCTTTTATTCATTAAAGCAGTATTAAGGTGCGGACAAGAATCTTCTTGTCTTCTTCTAAATGACTGAAAGTCAGTTGCACATGACACTCAGTTGCCCTTATGCACCTCATGCATTTGTCTCTGCTAATTATCCTAGTATTTTAACATGCATATCTCAAGAGACCCGCATTTCTTGCACAGGTGGATTAAAAAATACGCGGACAATGAGAATATGTTCTTTGAAGATTTCAAGAATGCGTATGTGAAGCTGGTGAATACTGGTGCGAGGTGGAAAAGCTTGTAAACTATGGAATTTGATGTTCCATGAAAACTGTTATGAGCCGGTGATTGTGCATGATGGCCATAATGATTTGGGTTATGTACTGATGTGGTTTGAAGTGGCGTGAATCGCTGAAGATCTTATTTGGGTTCAGGGACCACGGTCTTCTTTTCCCCCACACCTAAACTCGACGGCTCCTCAATACGTCCCATAATCTGTTCTCTTCTATGGATTGCAAACAATGAAAGAAACCAAAAAGTCATCTCTAACAAAAGCATTTTCTCATCACATCGCTTTCGTTTACAAAAGGTATGTCAGTTGTGCATCCGCTTTCACATCCACCAGTGAAAGCACTCTCTTCTTGGGGTTGATTCCTTTTTTTCCCAAGGCCATAAAGTTTGATACTTATATTTAGAAGAAGCCCCATTAACTGCAGAACCTAGCCCCTGAGTGCTATACTCATTTGAGGGTAGGCTTAGCGTAGCTTATTACTGATGTTTTTGTTTTGACTGTTACTTTCAAGAGTTGATCTTGCCATTTAAATTTAAAGAAAAAAAATAAGAAGAAGAAGCCCCATTAAGGAAAACCGCCATTTCTGCTGGTATGCGGCATAATTTGTCCGGAAACTTCTATGTTTCAATTTGTGGGATTGATCATTAGGTGGATTCAACAATGTGGACTCCAAAAGCACTGTCAAAAACCAAAATTGTACCACTAATAACGCTTTTTCAGGATATTTTATCACTATGGTCAAGCTCGATCGGGGAAGAAACATAGGCTGATCGACAGGTTAACAAATTGCAATAAATGGCATCACGATTTTGTCACTAGAAGTGGGAAGTTGCCGGCTTGTCTCAATGGAGTGAGTTACGCCGGAAGCGAGATACCCCACCTCTCGGGGGAATAGTGCTTCAAATGGACATTTTATTATATCTATAAGCATCTTCAAAACAGCTGTTTGATTGCTTCTCTCTCTACTTATGACATGACAGTGGTACTGGTAATTATCATGGGACATGAACCTTGTAAATGTGGCTTGGTAGCAATTCCATGTACAATGGTGCATGATTGAGGCCTTCCATTGTGACCCACCGAACGTCTATAATCAATTGCCCCGCTGGTGGGGGATGCCCAGATGTCACTGAGAGGGAGTTTGGAAGAAACAAGAAAAAAAAAAGTAAAAAAAAAAAACAGTTTTAAGAAGTGTTTTCATGCTCATAGGAGCAAAAATTTTCTCATATATTTGTTTCGTATATTGTAAAATTATTTTTAAAATCACTATTTAATTTCTAGTTAAACACCCTTGAAAGGAAAAATAATATGATATCTCAAATAAATTAGGGATGGGAATAGGACAAAATGTTAGTGTCACCAGTTATGAGTTAGTAGCAACCTTGCACTTGGCACGGTCTTCTGTCATTGCACCTTATGAATCTACCTTAGCGCTTGTTGTGAGGCTTATTCGGAAAACTCAACTCCTAAGCTGTTATTTTCGGCTTGGATCCGGCGAAGAGAAAGAATTTGCATGCTATTCGTAACATTCTTGTTCCATTGATAGGATAGGTCTCAGTTCTACAGTTCCATGGCATATAGATGAAACAGCTCAGGAATAATGTTGTCGTGGTAAAAAAAAAAAAAAAAAGGTGGACGAAGTTGATATTATTATCTACTCTCTTAAATATTGACTTTATTAGTTAGTGACTCGAAAACAATTATCATTTCAGCCAGCAAAAGAAGGAAAAAGGCGTACGCTGTGTGAATAAATTAGACTTGGGCGCATTATGGGAAAATCCATCACAATAGATCGTCGAGTGTTCAATAATTCGTACATCACATAGCTTTCATAACTTCGTCGCAGCGACAGCTTCCCAGGGAATGGTTCAAACGAATGAACTCAGAGTTGAAGGGACTGTCTGTCAATAATTAATGAATGATGCATTTGGCATCGATGTAAATATTTCCCCCGATAAAGACAACCAAACGATTGCGTAGGAAACTGATAAATTATTACATACTTATCCCTCCCACGTAAGCCAGTCTTTATCATTCCCCCACACATGCTTTGAAGATCCCAGTGATAAACACTTGAACGTTTGCATATGTGCGTCGATTCTTTTCTTTCCTTCGTTTTTTTCCCCCGCTTTTTTCCAATTTTCCCTTTTCCTTTTTACAGTGTTGGATATATCTCATAGTTGTGCCTTTCGCAGGATGTACAATATGGCGCAGAATATATGAAGCTCTGAGAGAAAAACAAGAGTGAAAATAGCCTTGGAAAGTTGAGAAGGTGGGGCCAAGCAAATGTGGGGCCATAAAATGTAAGACCCCAAGGAAAGAAGCACATCATAATTTAGTATCTAAACTTGGTTTCCTCATGGCTTTTATCATGAGAAAACTCACCAAAATAGTTGTACTTGGAGTTCCATAAATAATCCTAAACTTTTCTTAATTGTCAAATCTTTTCTATGAATTGAATAAATTGAGAATTTTGTATTTTTCACTCTTTTTTAAAAATTGTTTTCTTTTTGTTCAAATTATCTAGTTTTTTTCCTTCTCTCATCGTCTTTATTTACTCATCTTTTATCCTTCCTTTCTTTATTCATTGTACATAAAAAATATGAAACCAAGTTTATTCGCTCGCAGTATTTGTTAACAAATCATCTTTGCTGACAAATTCCCACGTATATTGCTTAATTAAACTGGTTATAGAATTTTAAGTGATATAAAAGTTAAATTAAAATATTTGTTGTTAGGGAGAATTATAAATATATCAAGTGTTATGCAGAAGATCTAAAATCTCTTAGTTTGGAAAGTTCAAGCAAATAAAAATTAATTAGGCGCATTATCTATGAGTATAACTAATATGTGTTGGCAAAAAAAAAAGGTATAACTAATATAATAATTTTTTTTGGCCAAAACTAATATAGTAATATAACTAACTCGGTGAAATGCATGAAAATGAAATCTTCGTCTAATTGATTTCAAATTCAGGTTAATTATTATGTGCAATATTTTAAGTTCATAGTTTTGAAATCTGTGCTTAGCATTTGACTACCCAATTCCCGCCCGTGCTTTTAAACTGAATCCTTTTCATCTTTGTATTTTTTTAAATAACGCGACATGTAAAAATGTGATTATGCATGCGATTTATATTTCTTTCTTTCTTTTTCTGGCGAGATTCATATTTCATTATTATACTTATTCATTTACTATTTTAAATTTTTAATACACTCGCTAATTAGGAAGAGTATTCTTTTTAATGCATCAAACAAAAAAATTTCGGACTAGATTGCCCCGGTAAAAGATGCGAATTTCAAAGTTTTATTTTAATTTCATACTCCAATTCCACGAAACCGTACTATTTCGATACTAGTATTTAAATATGAATATAAATAATTTCCATGCAAATCCCTAGAAATTTGTGCAATGCATGTGATGGTTACGTTAAGATTTTTCAAAAAGCGCTAAGGTGAAACTGGCACCGAAGAGAAAATAATAGAATTAAAGACAAATGCATGGAAAATGGAGAATACATTTTTAAAGGAAGACATTATTAAAAAATTGTTCCAATACAAATAATTAAAAATATTATTTTAAAAATTAAGATGTATTCTTAGTAAGCAACAAATTTATTTTGATTTTTATAAATTATTTACTGAGTCCTATATTAAATATATTCAGCGTTTCTCATTTTTATTTTTTAATTTTCCCGCTATACAGAGGCGAGGCCGTGGCTGTTTTAGAAAGCGCATTTTTCGTGAAAGCGCCGAAGCAGTAAAATTTTACTTAATACAAAATTCTATTTTTTTTAACCTCTCTCTCTCTCTCTCTCTCTCTGTGACTTGCCATTTACAGAGGGCGACTTTTGGAGGAATTGGATTTGAAAACCGCTGGTATATACAAGGCTCCTCTACCTTACACTCTTCCTTCACTCGGTTCAAATATTTTTTATACCAAAAAAACAAAAAAGGATAAATTTATCAGAAACATCTACAGTTCAATCTTTCGGATCTCCTCCCTCGGGCTCGGATCCTCCAATCGTCATTGCCGTCGTCGGTGCCTTCGCCTGTCAGATCTCTTCAGTGCTCCCCAAGTCTCTGCTCTATTCGAAGCTTTGCTCCCTTTTATGGCATTTTGACTGTCGTCAGCTTTGCAAGGTGAGGATGACAGTGTGGAGTCTGTACTTGTTAACTACTGGGCTTATGGTGTGACTGCTCGGAACTGAAAGATGAAATGAGATTTCAATTTCTTTCTTAATCTGGGCTCTGTGTCCTTGTGAGATTGGAGTAATCTATCGATTTACTTGTTCTATTTTTTCCCGCTATCCTTCTTTTATCTTGTGGCATTGTTTTCGTAAGTCGAGATCAATGCTTGTGGAAGAAATTTATCAATTTGGGAATGCAAGTTTGTTGACCGAAGCCTTATTGATACTGAAGTTTGCTGGTCTTGCTTATCTCCCATATTGTTAATCCTGATATGCTCAGCTTGCCTACTTATAGACCTCCTATTTTGAGGATATTAGTAAGTTCATACTAGTGATTAGGTACTTGGTAGCGCGTGCTTCGTTTTGTTGCTGAAAAAATGTGGTCGAAGCGGGCAATTTGGTGCTGTATGTTAGGTATCTGCAGAGCGAATCCTGTTGAAATTCCTGCCCATTCATTAAAATTTTTCCCCTTCCCAATTTGTACACGCGCTTAACAGCCTATTGTCTTATGATCCCAACTTTGTTCTTTGGCTAATAGAAGAAGAATAAGTTTGAGTCTTGTGACAATACAATGGAAATTGGAGAATGGGTCTTGACGCATTATGAAACTATCCTCGGAAAACATGAGAGAAGATTTTTTTATATAAACACCTGATGCATGGTAGGATATGTGTTGTGCGAATATAATTCATACTCCGTGCCTCTTCGTCTGTCTGAAAATTTATTCAAGCAACTAATTCGCTGCTGCAGGTAATTTGTAGTTGTGAATGATGGATCCAAGCAATCATTCACCTGTTGATGGCCTTCTAGTGGTTCATCAAAATGGTGTTCACGAGGAACCTTTTAACTCCGGAAAGGGCGTTCTCTCAAATGATATAGACCTCGATATTGCTGAAATTATAGACACGGATGCTTTAAATGGGAAATTTGAAAATGTGGTCCAGTTGGATAATACTGCTACCAATGACTTGTCTGTGGGAGAAATAAAAGAAGGACCAATTGACAATATGGACAGCAGCGACGAGACTATTTCCAAGGTGACATGCAATTCCCTTTTGGGCTAGACTTGGATGCAGTTTCTTATATCCTTTTCCCCCACCTAAAATGTAATGACTGCATGATTTTCCAATGGACATGTGATTAATATACAATTTCATTGAGAAACCATACACTGGTTTGTTAAAGCAATGCACTTGTGATTTTTTGATTGAAGGATCAATGGCTAAGATATAAACAGTTGCTACGAAAATTTTCCTCTAGCTGGCTTTGTCGAGTTCTCAATTTCATGTTATTTGAATCTCATTTATCTGTTTGGGTTCTAGGAAGAGAAAACCAATGATCAAATAAAACAATCAAGAGCATCAAAAGTTCCTGTTAAGCAAAAGAATGGAAATACCCCAAATCCTAAAGGCATTCATGCTAGTGGGCCAAGAAAAAGCAAAGATGGAAAAGATGAAGAGGCACTATCTGCTGTTTCAAATGGTAACCTAGCCTCAAAAACTCACTCAAGACAACCGATTAAAAGTAAACCATTCAATGAAAAACAGACTCAAGTGTCCAAGGTAAACTCAGTTCTTACTTTTAGGTTCATACCAAATTTATTGAAGCACTCAAAACATTTTGCTTCCCTTTGTTCCTTTTATCTTTATTTTTGGTGTTCTGAAAATTACATATTCACCAACCCTGATAGCTTTTACACTTTGTTTCTCCTAGCATTCTGGAAAGTCTGATGCAGCATCTTCCAAAGCACCCTTGTAAGTAATTCTAATAATTATTTGTGATTGTTTTCATGATTCATCGTTGTAGCTAGAGGAAGAAAATTCTATGATACAGAGAATTGATCATGATAAGTGTTATTTATTGAATTAGGGAGAAGAAAACGCCAAAACTATTGAATAAAGAACCCCTTGATGAAGTTAAAGGAGAAGCAGAATCCTCGTATCCTCTATCTCTTCGTTGATTTATGTGAGATGTGGGGAATTACTTGTAATTTCTGTATGGTTGTTTATTTTAGTTCATGTTTTTTGTGATTCTTTTGTATTATTTCTTCTCCTTAATCCACTTCCTAGGACTACCATTGCAGAAGATACCAAACCCCGTAGGGTGGGAACACTTCCTAATTATGGATTTAGTTTCAGGTGCGGTGAACGAGCTGAGAGAAGAAAAGAGGTGAATGTTTTGATACTTGATTTTCCACATAATCTGTTGCTGTGGAGGTTTCTTTTGCATTCAGTTTATAAGTTTAAAGGAAATGGTTTCTTTTCTGGACAGTTCTACTCTAAACTTGAGGAAAAAATTCAAGCAAAGGAATTGGAGGAAAGTAACTTGCAAGCAAAGACCAAGGTGATGATTTGAATACGTGAGCAAAAATTTAACTTGTAGATTTTGGCCTTTAATTGCATGAATCTTTCAATTATTTTATTTATAGGAGACTCAAGAAGCTGAGATTAAGATGCTTAGGAAGAGTCTAACATTTAAAGCAACCCCAATGCCAAGTTTTTACCAGGAGCCTCCTCCTCCAAAGGTGGAATTAAAGAAGGTCGGTCTCTACAATTTTGTGTACCCATGCCCCTGTTTGTACTTAGCATTAATTGGTTGCTTTTAAGCCATATTTCATATGTGTACCTATGCATTTATGTGTTTTTATACTGTGACATAAACACACGAGTCCTCATGCACGGACGCTGGCTTCAGAGAATCAGAGCATATAACTGGCCAAACTCAGTACTTGTTTTGTTTAATGGAAGTTTCATCTTACTGTTGGCTCTCCATCGATTATCTTCTGACTAATTTAATGCCTCATTTTTTACGGCCCTTGATCTTGAATGACCATGTCTCTTTTAGCTTGTTCTTAATACATTCATATTTGTTATAGTTACTAATCACCTCCCTATTTGTGGTCCTTTTTTCTGTGTGTACTGTGTATTGGTGCAACCAGACGTTAAGTTCTGCTGATTTTACTTGAGAGTTGGATAGCTTTTGGATAATGATGCTCATACCAATACATGTTTAAGTGGGGCTCCTCAATGCTTTTGACCTCATATCTCTTATGATAATGTGTGGGTTCAACATTGCTAATTTCAAAGTGATGCCAAAAGCTCTATTTTATATGGTTTTTTTTTTTGGTCATTGGTGAATGGGAATTATCCCTCTTGCTGTGCTATTTGAAGGCTTTCATTTTGCGCCAGCACTGGTCTTGTTCTGTTTGGATGCTTGTCTGTTATCCCAACCATTTGTCTTTTCATTGATCTTGGATTTTATTGATGTAGATACCAACTACGAGAGCAAAATCTCCCAAGCTTGGTCGAAAGAAGAATTCAGTCAATTCAGAGTCAGAAGGAAGCACTGGCAGCAGTGGTCGACAAGGCCGTTTAAGTCTAGATGAGAGCCACAGTAAAGATACGCCAGTCCAACAAAAGAAGCCACAGAGGAAATCTCTTCCGCCTCGACTGCATGCTGAAAGGACCAGTTCTTCCACCTCAAAAACTGCAAGCACTTCATCCAAGGCAATGCATCACGGCAAGACCTCCTCATCCAGTGTAAAAAACAAAGATAGCACCTCATCCAGTGTCAGCATGGAAGAGATAACTGAAATTGCTGCCGGAAATGAAGAGAACAGTACCTTTTCCAGTGAGATAGGCGAAGCTCCATCCTACATCGAAGAGCCATCTGCAATCCTCTCAGGCAAGCCCGGTGAAGCAGAGTCCCATGTGAACACTGACATAGTGGTTGAAGAGCAGCCTCAGCTATCCTTGGTGCTAGAACCCATTGTGGCAGAACATTAAGACAGGAACAAAACCGCATATCCACTGTCACAGCTCCTGTTTCAGCTCATTAATATTAGAAACGCATGGGTAAAGATTATTTGACATAAAGGGTTGATGATTTGCTTCATAATTATGTCATCTTGTTCATAGCAGCGTTGCTTCTTTGAATTCCTATGCTCAGGGCTGCGGTTTTGTTCTTATGGTTCTCTGGCTTGCTTGCAACAATGTATGTAACTTCTTCCCAGCTCACTCGTTTGTCATTCTAGCATGCACCAGTTGCCTGGTTAGCTAAAAGATTTGGGGGGATTTTTTTGATGAGTTCTGAATCACATTTTGGTAAATTGACATTGTCAAATGAAACAAGCTGTTTGTGTTGTGGAATCCCATTTGCCAGGTCATGTTTCGGTTTCCGTTGTAACCTTCATATTCTCTCTTTACATTTTATAGTACCCGCCTCCCTCCTTCCTCTAAGTTCCAAGGCTCTAAGTTAAACGCCCAAACAAAAAAGGGCGACCAACTAGATATATAATCTTGCTTCATTCTAAGTTCCAACTACTAAAAATAGGAGACTGTCCTGTGATCCTTTGCCTTTTTTCCCCTTCGCCATCACTGAATCAAAGTTTTAGATAAAAAAAAATACATAAATTTAAATGGTTAAATTTTGATCTGAACAGATTACCAACGCAGACTATTACTATAAAAGTTAATGAGTAAATTTACCTAGAAAGTAAATTTATTGAAAAGTTTTTACTTAGAAGTGTTTGACATCTTTTTTTTTTTGTGAACAAATTTGTCTAGAAAATTTAAAATCGTAGCAATATTGTTATTAATATTTTTAATGATAGAAGACAATATTATTATGATTTTAAATTTTCAGAACAAATTTGTCTCCAGAAAAACTTCTGAATATCCAACATTCTTTAGTAAAAACTTCTAGGATAAATTGACACATTAACTATTGTTATAAAATAGATTTTTTTTTTACTACAATTGTGTTTGAATCAAATTTTAACAGTTTAACTTTACATATTTTTTATGTAAAACTACATAACATTTTTGTATAAAATGTCAAATATCAATTATTGGAATTTTGATCCAATAACGACAATAATTACAAAAGGGAAAAGAGAAGGTAGAGAAGAGGAAGGGAGAGAAGATCCGTCACACTTGTTGGAGCGGGTGAATCGACATGCTTCATGCTTAAGAAATGCAATGCATTCATCCAAGTTTAGGATAAGAATAGGTAGCAGCCGCTGACCTGGAGAGACCAATTTCAGTTCGGAGCCATCCCGAGAAACTACCCCACTCCCTCATCATTACTTCATCCAATGTCACATCTCCCCTAAGTTTGCTTTGACGCCAGGATTTCGAGTCCTGATAAGCCTAATCTTGCCCATATCCATATCCAAAAGACATTGAGAGGACCGTAACTCCTACTTTCACTTGAAGAGTGTTTAGTAATTGTCAAAAATACTTCTTAATATTTTTTTGTAAAACAAACTTCATAAACTATAAAATATTTTTTAAACTATAGTTTGATTTCCATCCAAACATCTCTTTGGTTGAAAAATTGTTCTATTTGTAAGTAATATGCCCACGATTTAGTTTAAAAAGAGTGTTTAGTGAAAACAAAACAATAATTTAAAAATAATTTTTCAATATACAAAATTTATGAAAAAAATTTCATCTCAAAGTAAAAACACTTTCTAAAAGTGCTTTTGAAAGGATTTAAACACCCCCAAAATTGCTGCATATCCAAGCCATACAAGACTACATTCTCATGTATGGGTGATCCGTGTGGAAGAGTTATGCAGCAAACACGGAAACAATGGGTTGACGAGAGCCGTAGATTCTTTGAACTAGACAACTCATAACCCCTACAAAATTGTTCCCAAAGACTCGTCAACTCGTATCTGAGGATGATCAATCTCTGAATTACACAGCAGGTATGATAGCAAATATCCACCGAAAATAAATCATAATTGGATATGCTGATCTTGAGAGATTTCCTGGCAAATTACATGATGGATTGTGTCCGCCACTAGACTTACTGGGCAATCCTTTTTTGTGCCCTTGTTCAAAATCAAAGAGAAGCTCCGTGTGTACAGTCATGCGAACAAAAGATTAAGCAAATACTCCTCCAGTCCTAATTATAAGACCCAATTGACTTATTTGAGGAGATTAAGAAAGTAAGTTAAGTTGGTTATTTATAATAAATAAGTGTTGTTATTCCTAAAATATCCTTGCTAATTAAGTATATTGGCTAAAACTATCATTATTAGAAGGATTATCTTAGGAAAAAAATACATAAATATAAGAGAGAAAATGGATTGGGTTTTATAATTAGGACCAAATAAAAAGTCAAATTGAGTCTTATAATAAGGACCGGAGGAGTATTATTTTCTGGGACAACAAATAAAAAGCTCTCAAGTGCAGGCCGGGATTTAAAGAAACTCTAATTTATTCATAACTTCTCAGGGATAATAATACAATACAAAGGGCAGATGCTGGTATCTATAACATGTATGAAGTTGCAACTTGAGAGTTCACCAAAAAATGATGCCGAATTAAAAACAAGGGCTAGGTGAAAAAAACAACCCTTTCCTCTAAGAGGTGATGGTTGTGATGGCAGACTCGTATAACTAGCTGCCATGGCCATAGCCTTGAAGACAACAGCATCATAAACACCGAACTGACAAGCAGCAACCACAAGATCATTAGATAACCTGCCCTTCGAATAAAACTTAGGCCCAAATCATCAAGATTTGGTAAACAACACTGGACAGACCCTGGATACAGAAGCTGTAAAAACTTGCAAGTGGAAATTTGACAAAGACGGGGGCAAAACTGACGTAATGTCGGGCTAAAAACATCAGATGCCAACACCACTAAGAAACTCCTAACTCCAGAACCCCGTAACTATGTTCTCACAGAAATACAGCCACTTAGAAGATGACATCCCGTTAATGGGAGACAAAACTTCGAACAGGTTTCCTATAAAAGGATGGAAACCTGCAAAAAAGATGCCTGTATACCCTGGAAAAAGAGAACAGAGTACCTGGAAGACAAGACCCATACAATGGACCCAAAAACTACTATGAAACAATAACATCAAGACTGTCTAAAAAACCTCCTACTTGGTTCAATCCACAGCACTAGTTCCCTCGTCTGCGAAGAGAGAATCACTTTTTCGCTCAAGCAAGGATGTCACACCTCCAGAGCTGTTCCGAAAGCTTCCCAGTCGTACGGCTGTTAATTGCCTTGCAGTTACGGATATTTAACCCCAGAAGAGTCTCACCCAACTTTCGCAAAGCAGGCAGGCTCTTGTTTGAAACAAGAGAGCAATCAGACAAGGACAGGATCTGCAAATGGAACATACTACCACCTGCCAGGGCTGTGACACCAGCATCAGTAATTGCAGACCCTGACACATCCAGATCCCAGATCAATGGGCAGTTCTCAGCAATTGCCATCAAGCTAACATCACTGATCTTTTTACAGCCATCAAGATTAAAGACCTCAAGAGTCAAGCCATGCTTAGTTGCGATGGAGGAAACTGCTTTATCTGTCAAATTAACACACTGACTGAGATTAACTTTTACCAGACCAGCATCAGAATTCAAAAGCAATGCAAGGAACCCTGAATCAGTCACTCCCTCAAGTCTGCTCAATTCAACATACTGCAGCTGAGGGCAAAGCTTTCCCACTAAAGCCATTGCAGCATCACCAAAACCGGGACAGTTACAAATAGATAGAGACTGCAGTGATTGGCAAGGAGATACAGAAGGCAACACCAAATTCTGAGCCTTAATCCCAAAGCAGCTTATAAGTGCAAGGGCCTTCAATTTGACACAACAATTGAAAAGGACACCGAAAAACCCAACCTGGGTGATTCTATGGCACTCCTCCAATTTTAGGCTCTCAATTGATAAAGCAACTTTGGAAAACGAGGCCAGCCCATAGTCTGATAGGAACGCACTTTTACAGAGATACAGATGCTTCAGATTTGGGCAACCCCTTCCTAAAGCATCAAGCCCAATATCTGTTACTCCTTGACAGGATGCAACTGAGAGTGAATTTAACTTCTGCAACCCATGGCCGTTACCCATGAGCCAGAACCCTTTCTCACTAACATTGGGAAGGCATTTAAGGGCAAGATCTGTAACTGCCTTGCCATAATGTCCAATAACTGCTAAAGAGAGGTCAGAAATTGTCAGCGCCTCAAGCTTCACCTTTGTCAGAAGAAAAGAAGCTGAAGAAAAAAGGCTCGCAATTCCCTGATCACCAACATGAGTGCAATTTTTTACTGATAAGGATCTCAGGTTAGTGCTAAACTGCCCAATAGCTTGTAGACCATCATTACCAATTCTCGGACATGATTCAATTGATAACTCAGTCAGGTTAGGGCAGTTCTTTGCAACTGCAATCAAAGCCTTATCAGATATTGTGGGACAACAGCAAAGATCGAGCTTCTTTAGCTGAGGACATCCACTAGCAATCTCAATCAGGCCTTCATCATCTATCGTAGTGACATTCCAAAGAGAAAGAGCCTTTAAAGAAGGGCATCCATGCGCAACTGCCCTGAGACCAAGATTAGTCACTGCACAACCTGAATCGCCTCCACGGATTGACAGCTTTCCCAATCCGCCACGAGAAGCAGTCCCAACAGCAACAGCCGCAAGTCTGACATCGGTGGCCTTCTTTCCTTCCAAGTCTCGGGAGAGGCATCCGCCACCCCCAAATTCCTCAACATCAGCCTCCTCTCCACTAACATCATTCTCATAACTTGTCTTCTCATGGCTGCAAATTTCATCCTTGCTAATGTTACTTAGGAGCCAAAGCCAGCGCTTGGAAACACAGGCAGCTAAGCTTCTCTCTTGACCTGTGGGCAACCTTCGGAAGATCTCAAAGAGGCACTCATCTGGCAAATTTTCAATGGATGTTTGCTTCTTCTCGGCCTCAAACAATTCTCCACTGAGAGGAAATGGATCATTGATGTGTGATCTCTTCAATGAAGCACTGATACGTGATCTCTTCTGAGGTGGAAAGTATAGATCAACATGACGACCAAGAGACAACAACAGACTGGGCTCCTTGGGGTTGGCATATATTGACCCCCCGGGGAAAAAATCATCAATTCCTGAGAACGCAAGCCGTACACCAAGTCAGAGAAATAATCTAATGAATATAAAGCATAAGAAGAAGCGTAAATTAGGTTAGAGGCAGGGCCAAAGAAAAAAAGTGCCATGGATCACCCAAAAAAACACGATTTCATCAGACTAATCGACAGATGTGCTCAAAATTAGAACACTGAAACGACACACAACTCCAAAGATCAAGTCTTGCAGCTAATAACATTCACATCCCCCGCTGATAGATCTAAAGCAGCTAAAAGCCCTTATGCGAAAACAAACACTGGAAATGAAAGCCTCACCCACATGATCAACTACAGGTTTAGGAAAATTTAGCAGAGCCAGGCAATTGAAGAAAATTTTTACCCATCAGGACAACTAGGTTCAGGGATTATTAATAAATCTTGAGAAGAAAAAAGTCGAAGCAAACTCATCAAAATAACAACTAAACACACTATTCGGAGCTTAATGTGATGAAACCAAGACTCACCAGTAAATCCAAGGACTTTTGACATGGGTACAACCCAGAAAACCCCAGGAGGTCAAATCTGCGTTGCTCTGCACCAAAGAACCCTCGAAAGAGAGCGAAAAAGCTAAAGCAGAAGAAAATTGAGGCGTAGACGGCGATAAACAACTGCGGAGAACAGGAACGCATGAGAGAGCAGAGCTAGAAGGTCATGAGAACCCTAATAATAGGGCAAAAAAGGGAGGCGAGAGGGAAGAGGAGAGGGACACGAACTAATGAAGAAGATATGAATGCTGAAGGGAAGCTTTTATTGGAAGTGGAATTACGTAACGGGAGGCGACAATTCACTGAATGAGTTTTCCCATACATTGCATCTGCGCACTCAAGTGGGGCCGCTTTATTAGTTTATTATTATTTTTTTTTTTGGTTGACTAGTTTTTTAGTATTATTTTCATTACCACAGGTCCTGCTTAATATGAGAATAGCATGTATACAACTGTAATAAAAATTTTTTACATATTTATTTTTATTTTATATATTTCTGTAAGTTATAATTAAAAAATTATTTATAGGATCTATTTTTTTAATTATAATTTATGAAATATAAAATAAGTATATGAGAAAAATTTTATTTTAATCTACCTAAAATATGTTTATAGGTAATTTTCAACGTTATCTCAAATTAACTTATGAGTGTTATATAACTCTAGTTTTTTTTTTTCACCAAAAAGTTAAACTACTTATTATAGTAACCCAATTACAGCAAACGCATGTTAACTCTTATTTTCCCACTACATTTGCCATTTTCCCTGCTTTAATAAAAATATCATTAACGTGTGTTTTTTTTTAAAAAAAATAAGCGTTTAGTTTTTTGATATCTAAAATATGTGTGTAATTTCCTGCACGTAAAAAAAGTACTGCGTCGGATAATTATCAATTGAAAAGTTATGAACGATTATAATTATAATTTTTCATTTTTTAATATTTGAATATCATTAAATGGGTAAAATAAGGCAGCAAGGCAGAATTAGGAAGGCGGCGTTTTCTAGTCTTGCGTGTTGCTTATTACCTCTTTCTTTCTTAACTTTTATAATACAAATACTCATGTTTGGATTGAAGTGCGAAGGAAACCTTAGGGATGAATAATGTGGGAAAAATTTGTTTAAAAAATATTGTGCGTGATTGGATTTGGGATGGTGAATTAATAAAGTGAAGGAAGTCAAGTCATGACCTAGTTGATAAAATAATAATTAAAAAAGGGGGGCGTAATTTTCTTGATGAGGTTCCCAGGTTCATGAACCTTTCCTCGCCAACTTTGTCAGCTTTCGAATGCTTCAACGTCACTTCATAGCTTTCAACCTTTCACTTTTGCTCCGTGTCTTGTATTTTCCAGCATCTCATCTACATCCCTCTTTTTTACAAAAAAATCTAGTCGTATTGATTACAGCTGTTCCTCGTCTAAATTTTTTGACCAGGTCAGAGGAAAAATTACATACAGTCAATATCATTAAACAAGTTCAACATGTTTATTTATAAAATAATAATATGCACCATAGTTTACGGTATCAACTTATTTTATTTTGGTTATAACTCAAAGTATTTTCAAATTATTTTGGGTTTAAGAATAACCTTACGATCTAGCAGTATTAAACAGTTTTTCATATAAACAGAAGGTCGTAATTCCATTATAGTATCTATTGATATTTAAATTCACGGTTTTATATTTAAGAGAGTCTTATAAAGGAGTTGGCTAGCCTTAAGCGGGGTTAACTTTTAATTTTTTTTTCAGTTTTTAAAATTTAAAAAATTTATCAAAAAGAAATCTGCATAAAAGTGATGCTTTAAATTTTCCGCTAAAAAAAGAAAATTACTGCTGAGAACTAACGTCTGGGAAGAAGAAAAATGTTGGGATTCAATGAATGAAAGGGAGGCGTGGGACACGTCAAGTGGGGTTTGATGAAGGGGCAAAGTGTCCCTTCTCTTCCCGGGGAGCCAGCCTACTGGGCTTTCGGCTTGCTTCATCCAGCTTTTTAGCTTCTCGTATGTCTTTTCTTTTCCACTACAACAAAATACGGCTGTGAACAGATGTCCTTTTATGACGCATCATTTTTTTTGGATTCTAGTTTCCAACATTTCTGGCCAACTTTAGTATCCCCTAAGAATTTTCACCACACCATGCCCGTACAAATCCATACCCGTAAGCCCTCAATTAAAGTCATAATCGTGGTTAATTTTCATTGGCTGCAACTCTAGTAATAGTGATATACGTTAGGGCCCCAGTCTCCCGGCCAGCTAAACAGAGTTATTTTCCTCTGTTTTTATTGGATATGAGTAAGATTAAAACTGAGAGATACAAGTAATCTAACTGAACACTCTATTCTATCAATCTGTTTCTTGATGCGCCTCCACCGCTTCGTTCTCTGTCTACACTTTCCATGAACGCGTCTCCTTCATGCGCCCGCCTCTTAACAGGGTGCAGAGGAAGAAGCAGAGACCTGGATGAGTGGATTCACAATAACACGTTTCGCAATTAATTTTAAAATAGGGAAAACAGGGCACCAGAAAATACCGTACGGGACAACAGCCGAGGATGAGCATTGACCGGCGTCACCTTAACACAGTCAACTTTTGTTAATTGTTATCCAAACAAAGGCCAGAAGCATATCCCCTGTTCAACATATTTTGACTCTGAACCTAACGTTAAGCCACTGCTTTTCCTCGCTTTTAGAACCCCTTTCATTCATTGTATCTGATTCCATTTCTCTCCGCTTGTGGGGTCTTCTGTCTGTTTATTCATCAAACTCGTTTCCCTCGTTCCTCAAGCCACATCCCGTGACTTCCGTTTCACTAATCACTACTAGTTTATTCAAACTACTCTGACTATTGAAATTCTAGATGTGTCGCATTAAGAAACAAGCAAAATGTGGAGTTGAGATATTTGTGAGCCACAGGGGTTGGTCAGGCTTAGCCCATAAGAAATTAAAAGCATGTAATGGAACTGGGAATGGGAATGCATCGGTCGAGTGGACGAATCAATGGCAGTCATATGCCCACATCCACTATTCTTTGCCTAACCTTTCATTCACGGAAATAATAATATCATTGTCTGGATATTTTTTTTCAATCGCTTATTTTGGGTGATGATCATGAGGCCACCCCTTCCTTGTCATTTTTATTGGCGTCGGGCCCACCACCCACTTTTCTTCTCTAGGCTGGAAAATGACGCCCTTGTGTTGGATTCAATGGATCCACCCCCGGCCACGTTCACATCACCCAACAACATGCACTTTTTTCTTTTATTTATTTAGCCTTTTTTATCTTTTAAAAATGAAAGTACACATATGCGGTGTTTGGCATTTGGCCTCCTTATTTTGATCACGAGTCATAACAAATGTAAACGTGCACGACGCGCGTAATAGTAAACACAGTGCCTCATGCTTGGTCGTTTTGAATTGGGAACTCCGCGTTTAGGTCCAAGTTGGAGGCCACACATACCTCTCCAGTTGAAAGGGCTTATGTTTGTTTTTCCACCCTCGTTTTCTCTTTCTGTTTTTCATACTTGTCCACTTCCTCAAACTTGAGTTCACGCTTCCTGATGGCAGCGGAGGATTCTAAATTGACGAGAACAAACCAACAAAAATAGTAAAGGATTTAGACCAACCCACTCAATTGAAATTTCCACCCAGGCCCGTTCATATCATTCATAGATGCAAGCCAGTTTGGCGTGGTTTTCTTTCACTTTTCACTCGTGTTTGATTGAATTTGAACCTATAAGTTTTTACGTTTTCAGAATAACTATTGGCGGAGGAAAAACCGCATCTTGTTACATAAATCTTGCTCTTTCTTTTTTTAAAGTCAATCAGAGAGCCATGCTTCGGTTGTTCAGCCATACAGACCCTCTTCATCCCAAACATCGACAAGAAAGTCAACCATTTCCTGCGAATGTAAAATGTTAAAATCAATCAAGGATATTTGCTGCATCATACAACTAGAGCAGTAGAAACTGATAAACGGGAGGCAAGTTGAGAAGGATTTACTCCTAGGGGAATGGGTTGTGGGAAAAGCTCTTTGTTCCCAAGCAGACTCTCGTAGGTTTCATCCTCACTATGTAAGACATAAACTCAGAATTAGAGCTTTAACAAAACCTTAAAATTCGTAGTATGATACTACTTTTGCCTTTATAGCATGTTCATGCTGTAAGCTAACAATTGAAAAACTTTTCAAAGCAATTCGAGTCAGTACAGAAGACTTGTCTGTTAATTACCTTATTCTGGGTTGACTAACTTGTGGCCGACTCTCTGACCTTCTCCTTTGAAGCCATTGCTCCCTTGTCTGGTTCCAAAGAATTAGACCTGCATCCATCACAAACTTCTCTTATGTTTCGAAGAACTGATTATAGACAAGAATGCTATTGTAAAAGTTACCAAATCACAAGCAAATTTTGATTCAATGCAAGATATCGAACAAAAGAACCAACAGATTAGAGGAACAGGCGTATATATCAGCGAACTTGCCATGATTAACAAAGACAGGATGATCACTCTGAGGGTCAGCGCTAGTTTGAGGAGCAGATGGGGGTTGGTTTGGTGTGCCAGTTGATGGGATGGTCCCCAGAGACTGAGCTGCACTCTGATCCATTTCAAAAGCGCAGCTGCTCGACAAATCTTCTGATCGCTTATCTTCTTTCACTTTATGTTCTGGAGGTATTGTGGAGTATCCAATACAGCCTCTGCTCTGTTACAAAGTGGGTTCAATGCGCAAGATCAACAAGACTAGCCGTTAATTCTATATATCCTATGTACCTTGCTTAGGTTACAAACAGGAGGATTATGAAACAGTCTAGCAACGGAATTTCATTCTTTCTATAGTATCCTCTTAAATGATACATGCACCTGAATATAAAAAGCAAACGATCCAAGCAGGGATGTAATATGTTTCATATGGTAAGGACAGAGAATTGAAACAACCCCCCCCCCGGGGGGGTCAAGGACCTCGTCAATAAATTTATTAGAATCAAACTCAGTAAATAACAAAATCTCCCTTACACTGAAAATTCTTTTGAAAATAACCTCTAACGTTTCCATGATGCGAAGCACAAAAGCACGAAAAACATCACCGCTGAACATTAAAATGAACAGCAGAGTTTCTTCCCAAAGCTTCATCTAGTCTAGTCAATTGTATTAACAAGCAAAACCTGGAATGCCCTTCTCTTATATTTGAAATGCTATAGAGGAATGAAAGTTCTACCTATCTTATTGGCTGCTTCCCAACGATCAAAGAAAGAATGCAAAATCGTTGCACCAGATTTATGCTTGCTTAAAAAACAAGAAACAGCAAGAACCAGATTCCCGGCTAAAAATGAAAATGTGCTAAAATTTCGAAGGAATACCTTGACCACTTGGAAAACTAGAAGAAGGCCAAGGGATTAAGATTTTAAATTTCTAGTTTCTTGAGAATCTAGAAATAAAAAAAAGCATATATAAGCAATTTTTTTTTTTTGAGCAAAGCATATATAAGCAAGTTAAATCAATCCAAATCCTACTACGAAAGTTGAAACAAGGCGATTAGCTCTACATGACCTCGTTTAAGCCCTAGTGATTTTGTTTCATGCACTATCCAATATTTACCGGTCGCTTTCTTCCATTACCTGCTATATAAACAAAATCTCAGACCTCACTTCACTTCTCCGCCTCTTGCTTAGGAAGTTGATCAAATTAATTTTACACTGAAACTAGATATCTATAGAATCGATCTTTTTAGACAGATAAGTTACGGGCGATATTCATATTGAAGAATTCAATCTTCTCTTTCAATGGGACTGTTGGGCAAAAAAGAAGAAGAAAGAGCGAAATAAAGAGACCAAATAACTCACCCCACGCATGCCAGAATCTGACAGACCCAAGGTGGAGCGTGTCTACAGAACTGCATTTGTGATTTAACGAAGTCAAATTAGAGAGATCTGTGAAGTAAAATTTGAAGAGCGGCAAGGAGGCTCGTTCGGAACACTATATTCACGGTAGAAAGAAAGGGTAGGGAAACAGCTCAGAATCCAATAAAGAAAAAAAAAAAAAGGTGGCGGTGGGAGTAAAAACGAATAACAATACTCCAGCTGTTTGGTTACCGAGAAAAAAGCATAACAAAATCACAGTAAGCAAGCAATCCGCAGCTGCAAGTGGGCTGAAAAACAGATAAGCAAGAAGCCAACACTGTTATGGCTGCTGCCCGCTGAGAAACTAACCGCGAATATTTTCTGTTCAGGAACAAAAAAAGAAACTAACGTACAAAGATGCGGATAACTAGAATTTTTATATCACTGAACGATTTTTATAGTTTTATACACACACACATATATACGTGAGTGTGCAGCTTATAATTTTTCTATTCCCAACTTTGTCATGAAAAATATTACTTAAAGAAGTGAAGTGAATTGGATAATGGCCATAGGATCAATTACATAATCAAAGATTAATTAAACCAACAAGTCTAATAGAAGAGCTTCCCCGTAACGAAGTGAACCAAGATCCCAATTTTTATTGGGAGAAACACTCAAATTTAATATCCAACAGTATCTTAATACCTATATCTGTAAAAAAAAAAAAAAAAGGTTGATTAAATAAATGTCTTCTTTGAATTTTTTCCAAACATGAATTTATTAATTTAAATCTTATATAAAAAAAATATAACAGGTGCATGCCTTATAATTGGAAGGAAAAAAAAATCCCGTCGATGCCTGGAAAAGAGGGTGGTGCTAGTCAATTGGAGCATTTGGGAGGGCAGAAGTCGTCTTTTGGCCTTTCCATGGGGCAGTTATGGACTGACTTGAACTTCAAGAAGGCGTAGAGAAAGAAATATCCAAGTTGAATTGAAAATTGATAAAAACGGTGGAAATATATAAATTTATACTTTGTTCGGGAAATAAATACGATGGGCTTGGCCAAGCCCAAGGTCATAGTAATCTAGTCTGATTCATTGTAACCAAGAGTGGTCGGCTTTAGGCCCGTTGTTGATTTTTTTTTTTCCAAGGAAGAAGAGCAGAACGATCTGGAAATCAACTTCTTGCAAAACCCGCGAATTATTCATGAAAGGAACAAATTTCTTCCAGTTTCTCAGACAACTTACAGTACAGGCAGCAAAATAAAAACCCTAATACTAGAAGCCCTTAATAAATAATACAAAAATTAAAAAACAGAGCAATTAACTCGTACTAAACAGGAAATTAGCACCTCACGAAACAGATTAAATGGGTAAAAAATTAACAAACGGTGATAACCCAAAAAAACAGGAGCTAACTTAAGCAGCTAAAATCCACACGAGCAACGCGAGAGTAGAAATTCATGTACCATGATGCACAAACCTGACTTGCATTCGTTCATCACATGGACAATGCGTGGGTGTGCGATCCGCTGAGAACGGACATAGCCCACTGATAAATTGACAAACCAAAAGCTCCAGTGCACATGGCTCGCTCGCGATGGTTGATAAGAAGGTGATTTATAACTTAATATTACAAGATTATAAGTTTAAATCATTATTGATATAAGTAAGTAACAAAAATGAATGTCTCCAATTGGCATTCTTTTTATTTTCATCCAATAGATAGTAAGTGGAGGGAAGTGGAGAGGAAGCTTAGCGGAGACATTTCTCTTCCTATCTGTAAGCGCTCTTTAAAAAATTGAGTTAGTTGTTTGAAAAAATATATTGATTTATTTAAAATACCTCCCTGCTTGTCACCATGTCGATGGAAACTCTTTCACATATATACAACTGATATAGACGATTTGAGAAAAACTTGTAAATTTGAGAAATGTATTTAAAATTAAAGTAAATACCTGTGATATAATAACTTTTATTGGGAGGGAATGGATCAAACCATTAATTATATGAATCCCTTACGACATCATAGTATATTTTCACGCCATCTCTTTAAAGAAAAGATAACTAAGAAGGTGTTTGACAATACCAAAAATACTTTTAAAATTTTTTTTTTCATAAAACGAGATAAACTCCTCTATATATTTATTTCTTATAGTGTAAAAGTGCTTTTAAAATCATAGTTTGACTTTCCAAACACCCCAAATCACCGTTCTAAAAGCCGGCTTGTCTATAGCTTCATTAAATTGACCCCCAGGTAAATTTAATAATTTATACGGATCGCCCCCCCTTTTTTTCGTACATATATCACAGTAAACATGCAATTACTAGCACTCAATGGTTAATTACATTGACTTGTATGTATATGCGTATAGAAGCAATTATTTGTTCAGCAAAATGCGAGAAGGTCCCCCAAAGCTGGTTGCTCATTTATTTGAGTTGTTAAGAAAGCAAGGCAGAGAGAGTTTATGAGAGTGTGAAGCAGGTGAAACTTTTATTGCTCATTCATTCACTGTTTCGATCCCTCTCTTTCCAACCCATCCACCGACAATTTATACACACAGGCTCTTCATCTCAGCTCAGCACTCACCCACAGCCTAATCACTTTGCCATATTTGATGACATTGTTGATTGTACCCTCAACCCCCCCACTTATTCCCTTTCTGCTTCTCTGCTCCCTAGCTTCTTTCCCCCTCCTCTCTCTCTCTCTCTCTCTCTCTCTCCACAAAAGGATATGGCAAAAGCAAACAAGTTCAGAGGTGTGAGGCAGCGCCAGTGGGGCTCCTGGGTGTCAGAAATTCGCCATCCATTACTGTAATCACACCTCAACTAACACAAACCTACTTACATATCTTCTCACACACATGCATAAATTCTCTCATTCTTCTTCTTCTTCTTTTCTCTCTCTCTCTCGTATATATGAACCTGTGGTTGTTCTTGGGTGTGTGTTCAGGAAGAGACGTGTATGGCTGGGGACTTTTGAGACGGCGGAGGCGGCGGCTAAGGCATACGATCAGGCCGCCATCTTGATGAATGGCCAAAGTGCAAAGACGAATTTCCCCACTTCAATGTATCAGCCACAAGACAACCCTGCTTCTTTATCTCCCAAGGGTCTTTCAGATCTCCTCAGCACCAAGCTTAAGAAGTGCTGCAAAGCCCCGTCTCCTTCTCTCACTTGTCTGAGGCTTGACGCTGACAATTCTCACATCGGCGTGTGGCAGAGAGGAGCCGGACCACGTTCTGACTCTAACTGGGTCGTCAGGGTGGAGCTCGGCGGCAACAAGGATCAGGCCAAGGACGAGTCCGATCCGTCGGTGATCAGGTCGTCGGTGCCGGAGACCGGTGAACAAGCAGGTAACCCGGTGGTGGATGAAGAAGACAGGGTCGCAATGCAGATGATCGAAGAGCTGCTTAACTGGAACTCTCCTTGAAATTCGACTGCTTCTCATGAATGGCAAGCTAGCAGCCTTCCATATCACCAGAGTTCTTCCATATAGGATTTGTTTGTCCACTTTCTGCAGTGTCTCGTTTAAAATATAGTTCCGTTTAGCTATATTCTTTTATGCCCTAACTGGATTATTTAAGACTAAATTGAAAGGGAAGAAACAAAAATAAAGTACAAGGTACTCAATATAATAATAATTAAGCCGAGATGTTATTTAGTGCTTGGTTATAATGGCTGCAGTTTGACGACTGTATATCTGGAAGCATCTGTGCATATATGTAGAACAACTTAATGAATCTGCCATTGATACTGGTTTGATTTCCATCTTTTAGCTTATAGAAACCGGTAAAATGACAGTGATCGAGACGAGATGATGATCATTTCTTCAATTAAGTGCATGTACAGTGTTTGAATTATGTGAAGGCGCGTGCTGCTTGAACTGTTTTTGTAATTGGCATCCAAATTTCGATCAAATGGAGAAAAAAGTGCAGATTAATCGCTAGGGCTGATGTCCAAAGCATTTACAGCTCTCAAATTGAAGCATCTTATGTTCGAATGATTTAATGTTCAAGCTACTACTACTGCAAATATGGCCTCTTCATCCATAAATAACGCTGGCTACGTGCAAAAGCTGTGCACCGCTCTGTTCTTTTCTTTCTTAATCGAAATCAAATCACCATACGACACGCTTGAATGGGAAGAGATTACTATCCATATGTATTAGGTATACAACAGAAGATGAACCTTTCTATTTAAAGTAAACACGATCTATATCTTTCACGATCTTAGCTTCTCGACCAAGTCACGAGGGTAGCTGCGAAATTTGACATTGTAAAACGTAAGAGTTGGGTAAGTCAGCTTTTGACTTTAATTTGCAAAATTAAAGGAAGTTCAGACCCATTTTACGCATATAAAAAGCCGGATGCAGTATCACATGAGAGATATGGCTGTCCCATAATTTCAGAGAGAGAGAGAGAGAGGCTAAAGGGTAATGGCTGTGGAAGAAGCAAAATGAACGGAGGGCACTGGGGCCTCTGACTACTGCGCAGGGCTCTGTGGTGTACATTGATTAATACTTAGATGATGCGACGATATGGTACCTACCGTAAAGAAGAAGTTGACATAAAGCAGGATCTTACTTAGAGTCGTTGGGTTGATCAATAAATACTCCATTCATGGAGGAGCAGGAGTGGTACAAATTAATTATTGCCATCAAAAGGATAAGAAACGAGCACTATTTATTGTATGGGGCTATTGTTGGCATGTGCACTCCTATGCAAATATATGAAGGCGAAATGGAAATATGGTTTGGTCATTGGCGTTGATATCACTGCCACGGCATCTTTTAACCGATAAAAGGAGGGGAAAATGCATGGTACGGACGTTCCCATTTTGAAGTACTTTGCAGGTCAATTATTGACAAGTCTTCAATTGCCCGGAAAAGATTGAAGTCATTTCTACAGCTTCCTCTTTTTAAGTACACCTGTGGGGAAACCTGCTTACAAGGTGCCGTTATTATTATTATTATTATTATTATTTTCTTATATTCTTTTATTAAAAATAATTTTATTCGAGGTATTATTCTTTTAGTTCTTAATATAAAACTTATTTAATTAATTTAATTATATTAAAAAATTAGATAGGCTAGTTAATTATAAAAAATACGACATGTTTTTCCTAAAACACTATAATCATCTTTCTTAACATCTTTCTACTCTCTTCCACTTGATTATGATTAATGGAGTATCTATAAGAGTAATTTAAGAAACATAAATAAATATAAAAAAATAGATCTTATATTTAGGACCATAATCAACTTAATAATTAGGTTTTATATTAAAGACAGGAGAAGTATTAAATACTACCTCTGGTTCTAAATATAAGAGCCAGTTGACTGGTTTGAGTAAATTAAGAAAAGAAGTTAAGTTAATTATTTGTAATAAATAGGTGTTATTTTTTCTAAAATATCTCTGATAATCAAGTGATTGGCTAAAACTGTTATTATTAGAAGGACTGTCTTGAAAAAAATATATAAATACGAGAGACAAAGTAGATTAAAGTCTTATATTTAGAATTAAAATAATAAAAAAAGTTTTATATTAAAAAACAGAAGTAGTATTAAACGTAAACACAGTTTTCGGTGAGAATTCTAACCTACTTTTCTGCGTCGCAAAGGACCGGCATTTTTAACCAGAGCCACCCCTGATTGGTTACTATTACTAAGGTACAGCATCTGTGGCTTATATGATTATGTTCTGTTTTTGGGCCATGCGTCCTAAGTCTTATGGGCAGGACAATTTGGGCCTTACATTTACACATAAAACATATATCCTCTCGGTCTTTTCCGTTCCGGGGGAGAGACAATTTGGCCCAAAATTTTAATGACAATAAAATTCCGAAAACATTTGTTACCATGATTTACAAATAACGATTTATACAATTTCGAATATAAGTTTTTTTTCATTTGATCAATGCTTTTTTTTTTCGAGATTTAGAATGCAAACAGAGATAAAACTATTTACCACCTCAACCAATAACTTACTAACTTATTAGTGAATATAAAAGGTTTAATTGTAAATTACTCCTCCGGTCCTTAATATAAGACCCATTTAACTAATTTGATTAGATTAAGGAAGTTAGGTAAGTTAGTTAATTATAAGAAAAGTGACATATTTTTCCTAAAATACCATAATCATCTTTTTAATACCCCCTCTCCCTCTTCTATTTGATTATGGTTGAGAGGGTATCTATAGGGGTAATTTAGAGAAAATTGATAAATATGATAAATAGGTCTTATATTTAGGTCCAAAAACAACTCAAAAATTGAGTCTTATATTAAGGATCAGAGGAGTATAACACTTAATTGTTATTAACTCTCATGACTTTTTGTATGTATATATATCTGAATCATTACTTGTAGTTTACCTTTTATCACGTTTTTTTTTATAGACCAACTATCATTAAATAAAAATTACGGGACTTAGCCGTCAGTTTTCCTTATATTTATGTCGCAATGATTTTTTTTTGCCAAAATGTCGCGATGGGTTATGTGAAATGTGAATAGTTTTTCAGTCGTCAATGCTTAAATAACATAATTAAAAAAAATTATTTTGATTTGATGGTTTTATCTTTTATAGTTTAGGGGATTACTAATTTACTATTAGCGCAGAAGAAAGAGTAAAAACGAACGCAAGATCAGGGAAGAGAACCAATACAGATGCTCTGTGAGTCTGTGACTCCGTCAGATCACGGAATGAAGTATATTCCCTATTTCTTTCTTCTCCTCCCAAATATTCTGATTTCGAGATTTGAAAGCAGCACTCTCCGCTTTTTTCAAAGGACACACGATAGCAGTGTATCATCATTTTAATTTGTAACCTTTGTCGTTTCACCGGAATATTTGATCTCCCAGCCGGACGGACCATGAAGTTCTGGAAGATCCTCAGCAGCCTGATCGAGCAGACTTTGCCCGATTGGCAGGATAAGTTCTTGTCCTACAAAGACTTGAAGAAACAGCTGAAGCTTATATGCCCGAAAGATGGCGACGTTCCATCCACCAAACGCCCAAAATTGGACGGCGAGGCGGAGCTCACCAAGGAGGTCAATGATTTCCTCAAGCTTCTGGAGGTCGAGATAGACAAGTTTAACTCCTTTTTTGTTGAGAAGGAGGAAGAATATGTCATCAAATTGAAGGTAACAAATTTTTATTTCCTGTCTTGGATTTTTCGGACAACCCCGGTTCGAATTTGGTTACCAACATGCCGCTGTGATCTGGTTTGGGACTCTGAAGTTGAGGAATTGAATTTTGCATTTGTATTTTTCTGAGAATTTTATAGTTAGAGAGAACTTTGAAGTTGAAATTCTCTTCTGAGTTTGGCAAGGTGACAAAAAATTAGAAGTGAATAATATGGATCAACCTTGCTTCTCTTTCAAGGCGTGGCGCGCTTAGCAGCTAGAGAGAGTTATCGTGTCTCCATGTATAATTTCTTGAAAATTGGACCACAAGCAACATGAACGCACACATGCTCTTTTAAGAACAAGACATTTAAATCCCATCAGCTTGATTTTGTTGTTTAAGTATAAAATATCGTTAGTTTTCGACACCCTGATTTCATCTCTGTCTACGACATCATGCTCTGCTGCGCGTATAATTATTAGACCTAGTTTTCTATGATACATCGCGCATCTTAAGAAGGTACTAACTAATAACCTTTCACGGCTAATGATATTGAAAGTGTATTTAAGTGGCAACTGTAGCTTCAACTCGTATCAATTAACCCTTTATGGTGCCATATATGTGAATAGTTGCTTTGATAAAAAAGCAAACGGGTCTCGTTAGTTGTGTGGTGTCTTGTACATATATGTAGTAAGTATGCATAGTTGTACCTAGGATGTATCAAATTTCCTGTTGTTTTAGAAGCTGAACATTTGACAAACTTGAACGGAAAGCTGATGGTCGATACCTTAATTCCTTTCCCTTGAGGGCTGTTTTTTGTGGCTGTATGCCGCAGTTCTGAAGTGTTAATTTTGACTCACCTGCATTTGGAAGCAATTAAAACCCTGGCAATATTTTGCTTCTTTCAGTAGTCTTTTATTGTTCAGCGCTTCAGCGTACTGTGATTCTTGTAGATCGGGATTATTTTGTTCCTTTGCTATTTAGCATGAGTCTGTACGGGCATAAATTTTTTTTTTGGGGTTAAATCTAAAGGCCTAGATTTCATTGAGTTTATTTTAAGTTTCATGTGGAAACTCATGTATCATTTTGCACATAGGTTGAGTAAAAATTTTCTGAGCTTCTGTCCCCATTTGACCACGGGCTTGTGCTTGCAAATGATGCAGGAGTTGCAAGATAGAGTTTCTAGGGCCAAGCATTCAAATGAAGAATTGGTGACAGTAGGCAGGGAAATAGTAGATTTTCATGGAGAGATGGTTTTGTTAGAGAACTACAGTGCACTGAATTACACAGGTACTTCTAAGGTGCTGCCTATTAGCTTTAAGAGATGGATTCTTTTTTAATTACAGGGTGGCGAAATCTTGTGACAACATAAAATTATTAACAAGGATACCAAGCACAGTCAGGATGTCTAGCCACATGACTGATGAGGGAATATGGATTATACTTCCAAATTTTCATTTCTTAGAATATTCTATTGGAGAGTTGTGTATTACTGTTTTTGTAAGGTTACTGAGCATATCTGAGATTTATAATTTTTTTAAGTAAATGAATGATTTAATCCATATATTATCATGTTTGGATAACTAGGCGGCATCTTTTGTTAATTCTTTTAAGAAGACAGAGCATTGGATTGGGAGCAAGGGGTTGATATTGAATGTTTGGGAAAGATTTGTACATATGCCATCTAATCTCTTTGTTGTTTGAGCAGGTCTGGTGAAGATAATAAAGAAATATGATAAGCGGACTGGTGCATTAGTTCGCTTGCCTTTTATCCAAGAGGTCTTGAACCAGCCCTTCTTCAAAATCGATGTGCTTGACAAGCTTGTAAAGGAGTGTGAGGTGATGCTAAGTAATATTTTCCCCAAAAGTGAGGCTCCCGGCGAATCCTCTTCTTCCAGGGAGGAAGATGGGTGTGGTTCCATGACAGGGATTGGGAACGAAAATAAAGAGGCACTGAAGCAGGTACCTAAGGAACTTGCTGAAATTGAGCACATGGAGAATATGTATACCAAGCTAACTTTACAAGCCCTCCGGACTTTAGATGAGATTCGTGGTGGAAGCTCTACTGTGAGCATCTTCTCCTTGCCTCCACTGCACCAAAAGTTTTTGGAAGAGGATTGGAAGAAAATAATTGCACTAGAACAAGAAGCCAAGTAAATTTAACGAACATGGGATTGTTGTTGGCTCTTCAACTCCTATCTTTTCTGTTAATGCATTGGTCAACGAGTTTTCTATGTCAACAACCTGCTCAAAATGAAATTTGGATAAACAAGCATTGTTGCCGGTTGCCACAATCAAGACGTTAACATATATTCCTGTCGGAGGTTCCGTTTGAAATTGTTAGTTTGTAAGGATGTTAATGTATGCTTGGCACTTTTTGTAATGTTTTGTTTTTTGGGTGATTGACTTCTTGTAATGCTTGCTAATTTTGGGGGTATTGTCCTTAATTGGAGACAGCTGGTAAATATCCTTATTTATTAGAAAGTAAATAAGAATATGGATGCGCTCGTATCTCATTTTCATATTTGGCTGTGAATTTGTCGGAGGCATGGTAGCCTTGGCTGAATTCTTTCAAGGCCATGATTTTTGCAGCGGGTATGTTGTCCTATATGGTATTATTTTGAAGATTCTCCGTGGTGGTGGATACGATAAACATTAGTGTTACTGTTTAATACAATCGGTCTCAGACAGATCTCTATATAATTATTGTTTGGCAGCTCAGTGGACTGGGCATCTGGTTCCAGAGCAAAAAGCTGAAAGTTCCACTCCCTCTTTTGAGAGATTATTATTGCCGTGAAGCTTTATATAATAATAATCACAGCCCAACTTATACAGGTAAGTTTCGTTAAACTGAACTTCTGGTGTTAGCCTCTTCTTTTTGAAGTAAAAACTATTTCATAGGAGCACCACTCTACCTCTCAGTCTAACTTTCATGTATTACTCTATTTATTTTTGTCAAATGCAGAATCATCCAACAAATACTTGTCCTAAGACATTGATGGTTGATAGGGAACTGAGAATCACCTCCTTCGAAATGTATATATTGGTAAAAATATTTGTACCCCCTACGGGTGATGGGTTTAGTATCTGCGCAGTCACCAAACACCGAACTTTCTTATGGCTACAAAATATCTTATTTGTTTTTTTTTAAAATTTTTTTTAAGCAAGTGATATACAGGGTATAAGACATTTACTGAGGCAATCTGTGGATTTCTATTGATCGTAAGTGCTCAAGAAGCCACCAATAAAGCCAGCTCCATTGCAATTTCCACATAGCATCTCCTTTTTGCCCCTGGAATCGTGCGAATCAGATGAGGAAATACCATTAGTTTTGAATTAGAAAAATCATGCTTTGTTACAATCTAATCCAGTTCTCTAAACTTAAAATGCTATCAAAATGACGCAGGTTTTGGTGCGTCAGAGAGAAACGTCGACACAAGAAAAAATAGAATGGTCACCCGCAAAGCCAACACGATTCGCCGGCTTTGAACTTTCCATTGAAAAGATCAGCCGAGTTCACCCCAGTGCCTTTGCATTGAGAACAGAGAACAGCGCCTGTTCATCACCCACCAACTAGGGTCACGTTAGAATAATCACATGGTTTTAGACACAGTTATCTTTCTGTTTGCCATATGAATGGGGGTTTGTCACTTTCCTCTTACCATTTCCATCACAATCTCCACAAATCACACTATTGGGTTTTGTATTTCGGTTATTGTTGGCCGCCTGCATGAACAGAGTCTGATCAGCATCGAAACAGGACAGGTTCCCTTGGGAACTACAAATTCAATTTATTCAAACATCAATGGTTGCAGAAAGAACCTGTTTTTCTGAAACGAAACTGATCGTAAACAAACCTTCGCAATGAGAGAGAAAGTCTTAACAAGAGGGTTGCCTTGAAACACATAATTGGCTTGGATATGCTTTGGAATTGCAGGACTTTGCATGTCAATACCAATGCCTGAGCATCCAAAATTTGGGATTTGAACACACAAATTGTTGAGCATCTAATCAGGAGCAACAACGTAGAAGTAAAGAAGATAGAAATAGAGGGAGCAACCTGGTTGTGTTGTCGTTCGAAGAGGTGTCAGAGAAGTCAAACACAGGGGAGGAGCCATTGAGAAAATGGGTGAGATGATGAACAGCTTCTCAAGCAGCTGCGGATTGGATAGACATTTTAGAGGCGGGGGAAAATGATAGAAACAGGATTATAGATCCTCGGAGTAATAATCCTCCAAGTCACTGCCTCGCGAGGTCCCATTTGAAAGTTGAGTGAGCCCACTTGGCCCCTGAAGTAAATATCTTCTCTTATCCAATAATTTCTCTCCACCCATCAACGCACCTTTTAATGTGTGAGAGTCAACAAACATAGATGTCTCCTCCGTCCACTCGCAGCCTTCCCCTCTGTTTCTGTGATTAGGTTTGGTTTAATTATAACCATGCTTAATCTGCAGTAACTCTTCCCAAGTTTTCTCCTCTCATTTCTTTTTTTCTTTTTCCTTTTGGCATCTACGAAGCTCCATTAAACCAAAGCCAGATATGATAAAGGCCACAACTGATGAACCTTCTCCAATCAAATTTGCTTCTCCTGATGGCGACCACTGGCAAAGCGACAACAATCAACAGTGTAAATCAGCGGCCGGCAATTTTTAATCCTGAATTATACCATCCTTAATATCAGAGTTAATCATAAATATAATACTTCAATTTATTTTATCTTATATATTTATTTATTTATTAAGATAGTCTTTACAATAATTGCACATGTTAAAAGTTTTATCAATTAGTAAGAATATTTTAATAAAAATAATATCTATTTATTATTAATAACTAACTTAACTGATTTTGTTAATCTACTTAAATTAGTTAACTTGATCTTGTATTAAGAACATGAGGTAGTACTTTTTATAATGTGACATTGCAAACTAAGCTGAAACATTTTGAAATTTGCTCACTTTTTCTTATTGAAGTTAAATAAACTCCTTCATTTAAAAGGATGCATGACTTATTCAGTCTATCACGCGAAAATTTTGGATAATGAAATTTTGTTTAGTTTCGAGAGCCCTATAAATAAAGAAGTACTGTCCTAATCTAATATCGAGATTTAGGTTTAAAGGGGGATATAATCAATCGCGTAAGAAAGGCTGGATGTTGGCCTTAGAAGTGAAGATTGAAATTTATGAGAGGCGTTTAGGTTTAAATCCCAGGCCGAATTGCGCTAATGAATAGTTTGAGAGTAAACTTGCATGTTCAAAAAGCAAAACCCTACAATTAGTATTAATAGAAATGAGAGAAAAATATTTTAATATTAATAGAAATGATAGAAAAAAATAGAAATTACTAAAAAAACTGCAATAACAACAGAGCGGACAACTTCTAAGATAATAAATTACAATCATTTACTTGTTATTAAACTTATAAGTAATTATTTTTTTATTAGAATTTCATTATAATTCTCTCATCAAATATTTTAGGGACGCAGTTTTTTTTTTTTGTTGTGATTTTTTTTTTCGGTGTATTTAAAAAAAAAAGAAATGAAAGGGGAAAAAAACACTCTCGCGCTTGTGCTGGTTAAGGTGGGGACTGGGAGTGAGTCATCTGTAGCTGTTTATAAAAGGCGTCGAAAGCCCTTAACCCTATTCTTATTTCCCAGCATCACACACACTCTCTTCCGCTTCACCTGTGGCGGTCGGCGAGGTTTCCCTTTCTGCAGTTTCTTTTACCCCCCGATTGTTTTTCAGCTAACCAATTTCATTTGCAGACTTCACTAACCCTAACTTTACTACCTAATTTCTGTCGGAATCTTCTGTCGCAGGTATTGCCTCTTCCTCTTCTAAAACCCTACCCTCCTCCGGAGTTCTAGGTTTAAACCCTAGAAGTATATGCTTTGATTTATGCACGTATCTAGTTAGTTAGGATTCGAACTGTGCTTTTCTTGACTGTGTCTTCCCTGATTGGTTTTGCAGAACCAATGGGAGAAACTAAGGACGAAGGATACGAGGAAGAGCTTCTTGACTACGAAGAGGAAGAGGACAAAGCGCCCGATTCCGTTGGGGCTAAAGTCAACGGTGAAGCGGGCAAGAAGTAAGGAGCTTATTTATTACTGTTTTGTATTCCGTCCTTAGCTATAATAAGGTGTATTTTTCTTTTGATGTGGTAGTTTGATGACGTGGGGCGGTCGAGGGAGAGTGTGCTAATTTACTGCTTGAAAATGCAGAGAAAAGAAATGAGGTTTTGACTACGTTTGTGGTAACACTTATCGTGCACGGGTGGAAGTATAAAGCATAGTTATAAGTAGCCCGCACAATGCCTTCTTGTTGCAGTTAAGCTGCATGTGAGATGTATAACCTAGCAAATCTGATGCAGCGTGGATATAGGGTAGTCATACCGCTTGTAATTTTTCTATTTCTACTGCTTGGGCTGAATAGGGATGTATCCCCAATTTCGATCATTTTGAGAGGCCGACAGCTGTTAGATTTTTGGATCTATTCATTTAGGTGGGAATATGATAGTCAATCCGAGCCATTTAATCCATCCATTAAAGGTGAAGCAGCCACATCACTGCAAGTGGCATGTTTTTCCCGGATTAAACCAAGCCAAATCTTTTGTCTCTTTGGTTCCGTGAAAATGAAATTCCGCCATCAGCCCCTGACGCCAATGCTGCATTTTGTGAAGGATGCAAATACAGGAAAACCTTCCAGTTCCACCCACTGTAAACATTTTTATCATGAGTACCATTGTATCTGATGTCATGGAATGTAAGATACTTTGGTTTATGAGATGTTAGTGTGCCAAGCACTACCTTAGACTGAAAAGAGAGTCAAACATTGATTTATTTACAATTAAAGAAATCGATCTCGTGACTTATGGATGATTATAATGCTATCCGTTTTGATGTGAATTGTGTGTAAGCGTTCTTCATATTAAATTATTTTACCGAAGTATCCCCACTTTCTGTAACAAACAAAATAATCATAAGGTCATTTCAGTCATTTCATCATAAAGACATCGTTATGTGTCAAGTTGTTTTCTTGCGGCAAAATTGATGCAAAGTAATGAGGAAATCACTACAAGATCTTGGATTTATTTCTTCTTTTACTGAGAAAAGATTTTTCTAATGAATTCATTAGATGTAGAGATTGTACTATGACCCCCCCCCCCAAAAAAAAAAAACCGACTTGTGTGCTGAGAGTTTGCTTTGCCTTATTACTAGCTATGGTATAAATCTTTTACTCATTCTTGCTGGGAGTCTGATGCTGATTGTGAAACAATGCAAACATAATGTGAATGGAATAAACTGAATTATGCCGAGTTGTTTTATGTTCCTGAAATTGATATTACATGGATGAGGTTTGCTTGCAAGTTTCGACTCCTGCATATTTGATTTTTCCCCATTGGTAGCTCAAATGTGTTCCTTCGTTCTTTCTTTTGCAGGGGATATGTTGGTATACACAGTTCCGGATTCAGAGATTTCCTTTTGAAGCCAGAACTCCTCCGGGCTATTGTGGACTCAGGATTTGAGCATCCATCTGAAGGCAACTATCCAATCATTTCCATCCTTATTAAATATAATTTGCTGAGTTATTTTTTATTGGCTGTATTTTAAGGTTTTCTTGTAATTTTGAGCATGTATTGGAAGATTTTTTTTTTTAAAAAAAAATTTAGTATCGATTTAGTTAGATTTGTTTGTTTCATCCTTATTTATCGTCTTGCATCCTTCTTTTCAATTAAAAGGGTATTGGAAGTTCTGTAGAATGGTTGAATAAGCGATACTTTTTAAAGATTTCCTTACTTGTATGTAAAAGCTAAATTTGCTCCTTCAATGATCTCTGCTTGATAGTTTTTTTTTCCCCTTTACATAATGATAGTGCTTATGAATTTGTTCAATTTATGTATTACAGGTAATACTTCTACCATAATCTTGTTTAGGAGAACTAATATGGTTTGGTAAACCTATCGCATTTAAAGGGTCAAAGGTTTATTTACTTACTACCGGTTCCTTCGACCCCATTTTCTTTGGTTCACCATCAGTTCAACATGAGTGCATACCACAAGCAATCCTTGGGATGGATGTATTATGTCAAGCTAAATCCGGAATGGGGAAAACGGCTGTCTTTGTGCTCTCAACTTTGCAACAAATTGATCCTGTCGCAGGCCAAGTTTCTGCTCTTGTTTTGTGTCATACAAGGGAATTGGCTTACCAGGTATTTATGGAGACTCGGTAGATAAAAACTTTTGGGGATTTGATTCTCATTTAGTTTCTGGTTTAAGAGATGTGCATGATTTGGTTTTGTGTAGATATGTCATGAGTTTGAGAGGTTCAGCACCTACTTGCCTGATCTCAAGGTTGCTGTTTTCTATGGTGGTGTCAACATTAAAGTTCACAAGGATCTGTTGAAAAATGAGTGTCCTCATATTGTTGTTGGAACTCCTGGGAGAATACTAGCGTTGACCAGGGATAAGGACCTTTCTTTGAAGAATGTTAGGCATTTCATTTTGGATGAATGCGATAAGATGCTGGAATCACTCGGTATGCCAAATTGATGTTTTTTTTCTTCTTTGCGTTGTTTGATACTTTTAGACTTCCTGTGATTGTGATGTGGTTTTCACGTTTCACCTTTCATTACGCCCATTGTGCTTCTGCAGACATGAGGAGGGACGTGCAAGAAATTTTCAAAATGACTCCTCATGATAAGCAAGTCATGATGTTTTCTGCAACACTCAGCAAGGAAATTCGCCCAGTCTGCAAGAAATTTATGCAGGATGTAATATCTCATGGCCACTGCTACTTGAATTAGAAGTTGCTTTTTTCTAGTGTCGATTCCTGGGGATGCTTAAATGTTTAGAATGCCATGGTCCTTTCAGTATTTTCTTTTGGTAGTATTTCCAATTCCAATGGTATAGTGCTTTGTTTTTGTTACTCATTTTTGTGGAAATATATAGCCTATGGGGTGGAGTATGTGCGGTAGGTGGGGCTACATGATCGTGAGGGGCATGTATGAAGGAAATTTCATCTTTGGCTGCAGTGCCTGTTAGGTCTGCACATCTATCTGCGTTGGGTTTATTTTTTAGGCTTGCATTTCTAGTGGTCTATCCATGACCCAGTGTGTTCTTTCTGCCATCCATTCTGTTTCCTTGTTTGGAGTAATTTTGGTATATTCTGGGGTCTTTGCAATCGAGTGTTGAGTGTCAGTGGTGCTTTCGGGCATGTTGCAAAAATATTATCTGCGCGGAGACAAAGAGAGATGGACCAGTGCTGTGATTCGAGGGATCTGCATCCATCTTTCATTTTGTTCTGGATTTCTTTAGCTTTGAGGAGAGCATCTAATATGATTTACTGTCACGTTTGTTCCTTTCAGCCTATGGAAATTTATGTTGATGACGAGGCCAAGTTGACCCTTCATGGACTAGTTCAGGTTGGCCTTTTTTACAATTGGGGACTTCTCTATCCATCTATCTATTTATCTAGATGTGAATGAAACTATATCCCATACTTAAATGACTAAAATGACAGCACTACATCAAATTGAAAGAGGAGGAGAAGAACCGCAAGTTGAATGATCTTCTTGATGCACTTGACTTCAATCAAGTAGTCATCTTCGTAAAAAGTGTTAGTAGAGCCGCTGAGCTGGACAAACTGCTTGTGGAGTGCAACTTTCCGTCTATATGCATTCATTCTGGCATGTCCCAGGAGGAAAGGTTTGTATTATCTCTTATGAGGATTTCAGCTAGGGTTGCTCTTCATTCTTGTTTTAGCTTTTGATTTGACGATTTTCTATGATTTGTCCATTTACCTGGTTATACGTTGCCCTTGTCAGTTTGGCTTATTTTGTAATCTTGGAATTAGTTTGGTTGTCATGCCATGGCTGATTATGAATGCACTAGTAATGTTTCAATTTCATCTGCTTGCAAACGGTCATGGGCAATGCAAACATGTGATTTGTCTTGATTCTTGATCATATTATTAATAGGTTAAAGCGATATAAAGGATTCAAAGAGGGGCATACTCGGATTCTTGTAGCAACAGATCTGGTTGGAAGGGGCATTGACATTGAACGTGTTAACATAGTCATAAACTATGACATGCCTGATTCTGCAGACACCTACTTGCACAGGGTATGGTTATATGTGTAATGTATATTCATTTCGAATTGGCTTTTATGCTATTAAATTCGAGTTCACAGGCGTCTGATGGTCTGACCTTTTGTGTCTGGAACTCTGTAGGTTGGCAGAGCAGGAAGGTTTGGCACCAAGGGCCTTGCAATTACATTTGTTTCTTGTGCTGCTGATGTTGATGTTCTCAACAATGTATGAAACTCTTGTTGTTATTGATCTGGTAGTGGGATTTTATCAGTTCTAAGCTTCTTTTTGTATATTTCAGGTTCAATCAAGGTTTGAGGTGGATATAAAACAGCTTCCTGAGCAGATTGATACCTCTACATATAGTATGTTCTCATTCATAGAACTTGTGATCATCTGAGAGTATCCTATACCTTATCACCTTCTGTCCACTTGCTATCCTATGTTGTCTTCATGCCATATGTTGCAAAATGTTCTGGTGTTAATGCAGGTTTTTGGGCCTTATAATGCCTCTTATCTTTGCTTCTAGGATTTCTAAGTGAAAGCAGGCTGTTGTTTGTCTTCTATTTTTGAAGTTTACAAGTTGCTCTAATTCCAAAACGTGCGTTTTGGGGCATTTTGCCAAAAAATAAAAAATAAAAAATCAAAAGGAGTTAAAATAATCAGTCTTTTTTTTTTTTCCTTGGAAGATTTCCTTCTCATTTGTCTTTATTTTATGACCTTAAAAATTCTGTTGTTTCCTTAAATAGCGAAGAATGAACTTGCAAAAAAGTTTTTGGCCATCTTCATCCCACAAATATCAGCACCCACTGTATATTGCTCCCTTTTTTTTTTTTTGGGTGGAAGTGGGGGGCTTACAAGGACGGAATGAGATTTATTATCCCTCTTTGCTGATATTCGAGGAGTATTCAAGGAATGAACGTGTCAAGTAGGTTTTTTTTTTTTTTTTGGTTTGGGGTACAAATGTTGACATTGAAAATTGAATTCAACACTTCTGTAGACATTACCAGTAGACAACACCTAGTGGGTTAATTGAGAAATTTTCCAAGAGCATCGGCTGTGTTGAAATATTTTGTCTGCATTATGTTACATTTTGTGCTATAGTTTGTCTAGCTCGTGTTTTTGATGGAGTTGTGCGACTTAGTGTTAATTCCTGGCATTAAACCATTATACAGATTTTTATTTCTTATCTTTTTTTGGGAGTTCCTTTTATGCTAGTTCAAGCTGCTGATAGTGTGTTAACTGTCTGACCTTGTTTTCTTGTATTTTGATGCAGTGCCATCATAATAGAGGCGTATGAAGGTTGTGTGCTTAACCTGCTACCAACTGTAAGCGTAGCTTCGGCAGATTAATTGCTTTTGGATAAGTGACACGAGGCTTCAGATGCGGACTATCCACCATGCTGATGTCTCAAGTCCTTGTAGATCTACAGACTGAAAATGTTGACCTCCATAGGGGTTTATCAATATTAGTTGCTGGGTAGTACGGTAGCTTATAAATTTAAAGGATTTCATTCGCTGTATTATGTATTACGTAGATTTGCTCTTAGGAGCCGCATTTCTTGTTTATGTCGTGTTCGACTCATTTGGATTGGGAATGGGAAGTGGATGCTGGTGCGGAATCAGGTATATGGTCTTGACTAAATGTTTCGACGTGGGGGTTTAGTGTGGATCTGCGCCTCGGTTTAAGGATGCTGGTGACTGGAGCACGGATTTGGGCGTTCTGAGTCGAGATTCCAGATCATTCATTTTCTGTAAGCTATGGAAGCAAATTACCATTTTGGGAGTTGAGACTTATCCCAACATAAATCTTTTGATGCTTAGAAAGTTGTACTGATTTATATTATATTGAGCATATTAGCACTGCTATTTTGTTTGAATAGTTTTATTTTTGTGTAGCATACGAGGAAGATGGCTGTCCTGATTTAATTTTAACCCAAGTGCGTGAATACCCAAAAAATGCGGATTGGCATGAATTGTTTTATGTTGATTGATTATTGGTGTGGACTTTTTGGATAAACTCGATATGGATTGTCTGTACAGGCTCTAGCTGTGATTGCCAAGGAAGGGGTGAAATTTTAAGATGATGTGAGTGATTACCTCGACTTGTGATTTGAAACAAGTTTTGGGTCGCTCAAGGTATGAGATACTTCAAGGTTCAGGCCTAAAAAGAGAAACTCGAGGGATGAGGAGATAGTATGGGATTAGAACATTTGGTTCTGCCGTAAAGTAAGATTAGTTTGTTGATGATATGTGTGGGCCTTAATTTAAGCCCTATTAATCCTGAATGAAGAGTACCTTAATTTTTTATTTATGTTTCACGTCATATGAAATTTTATGTTATACGTGGAGGGGGTATAATTACTCTTTGGTGTTGGTTGCGTTTTAGTAGAAAATGAGCTCCATAACCTAAAACTAAAATATTAATGTTTTTTTAGCTATGATTTATGTCATATAACTGTTTGGATGTGTTTAACTGATACGAAAGTGCACACGGCTTGATTTCAAAATAAGTTAAATCTTGTATTAAAAGAAGAAATAAGTAAAATTCATATCATCACGCTGGTAAATGATTAAACACGCATTGCAAGGTGACGCTAACATCACCACGATCAGTCCAATTAAAATAAACTGTTTGCATTTCATTGGACCAACTTGTATTTATGATGTCCTATTACTTCGTAATCTGCAAAATGGGTTAGGAGTAAAATAGGCAGAGCAATCGTAATTTGGAAATTGTACGATAAACTAATATACAAGACAAGATCGCAATAAAAGTTATCAGAAGGAGCATTTTAGTCATACTTTTTACAGTGAGCGGCTCTTTTTCTTTTTTCTTTTTTTCCCCAGGAAGAGGGTGCCCAACTAGTGGCAATCTTATACTAAATCCAGTCTAAGATATAAAAACTAATTTATAGTGCAATTTACATTATAGATTAATATTTATATTTAGGACCAGAGATAGTAGTAATTAAAGAAAACGTGAATACTTGCTCGACACATTAAATATACCAAGCATACATATCAATACTATTAAATACACGATGAACACATTTATGTCGGCCGAATATTGCCGGAAACATCATTGAGGCTATTTAAGATACTTAATTCAGAAGCAAATGCTTCAGGTTATATACGCATAAAACGGTGGCAGAAGCTGGCATTTCTGATAGTTTTTGGCTTCCGATTCCTTTCAGTACATCGATCATATCACAATGGTTAGTTCTCTTTATTTTAATTTCTTTTTTCCCAGTTTCTGTCCGTGCGAATATATTTGTGTAGTACTCTTCCGATCCTATAAATATAAAACCCATTATGGAATGTAATTTGTACTACAAAATAAGTCTTATATTTAGAAGTGGAGGAGTAATTAATTTTGATAATGTAAAATGCACATTATTTAATGGACGCATCATGCAGGAGGGGTCTGAATTGAGAGTGTTTTTGATAGTTTGGATTGGATGGTGCAACGTATGGCTTGGCCATTCCCAAACAATCTTTAATGTCCTCCAATACGGTGCTATAGGAAATGCTCAAACTGATGATTCCCCTGTAACTCACTTCTCTCTCTTTGATTTCATCATCATCATCTTCTTCTTCATACACATTCAAATCTCTCTCACTCTCTCTCTAGATATATATATATATATCACGGGTATATGCTCTGTGGTTTCCCATTTTTAAGGCATTCGCAAAAGCATGGGAAGCTTTCTGTGGGGCGAAGGAAGAGGAACCGATCTTTGTGGTACCAGGTGGTCATTCATTTTTACTGCGTCCAACATATTTTAAGGGTCCCTGCTCTTCTAACAGACTTCATATTCAGGTATTATTATTACTATTATTATTATTAATTCGATTCATTCTAACTATATAGATTTTGTGGCCTTTGTGTGATTAATAAATTGTGGTGGATAATGATATATGCAGATTTTGGGGGCTGTGATAGCACCTCATAAAGATGCATGGGGAGGCTGTTCAAAAAGGTGGTTAAGTATCTCAGAGGTTAGCGGTTTGACTGTTGATGGCTCCGGCACCGTTGATGGTCATGGTCAAACTTGGTGGGCTGACCCCCATGTAATCATTATTTAAAGTCATCATTCATCAATCATTGCTAATTAATGTTATTTAATTCCTTAATTATGTTTTGGTCAAACATGTTCGCGTCATTAATGAAACCCAAGTCATTTTCAGGTGCTTGACCGTTGCGGCGACCTACCCGCGGTTAGCAGCTCTCCCCATTCATTTCACCTTTCCCTACTCTTCAATATGAATTGTACTGCTCATAAATCTTCATAATGTAACTGCGTGTGTGTATTACTCATTTGGTTTGGTTGCGATGGTTAGGCGGTGGAGTTTTTCCGTTGCGACGGGCTTCAAATAAGCGGGCTGACCCATGTTAATGGGCCCGGGTCACATGTGAAAGTGGATCAAAGCAACGACGTAAGAATTTCTCATCTAACGATAACCTCACCAAGAGACAGTCCCAATACTGATGGAATAGATGTGGCAAATGCAGCACGTGTTCGTATCCACAACTGTATCATCGGCACCGGTAATTAATTCACTCGCACTTGTCTGTATCAACCCATGAAGAGCCTTCATTGCTAGGAAAAAATATATATTTTCGATGCATATATACACACACGTATATATATTATATATAGGTGACGACTGCATCGCCATTAAAGGAGGCTCACATTTCATCAACATTACGGAGATTCACTGTGGACCTGGTCATGGAATTAGGTATTGAACCGACATATGTTATTATCGTTTCTAGTGTGTGATATAAACATATATAATGAAGGCCACAAAGTTGTTTACTTTCTCTCATGTATAATAAATATATATTATCCGTACAGTATTGGGAGTTTAGGGCAAAATGGGGTGGAAGAGCACGTAGAAGATATAAGAGTGTGGGGTTGCCACGTGGAAGGAGCAGAAGGCGGTGCTAGAATCAAGACATGTCCGGGAGGGAAGGGATCTGCCAAGAGAATCTCATTCGAACACATGACAGTAAGCCAAACCAGACAGCCAATTTTGATAGATCAACATTACGACCACAGAGGAGAAGAGGTAATTTGATAAATAATTACTACTTTTTGTTCTAATTATAAGACCTAGTTTATAGTTTATAAACGAGGTCTTATAATTAGGACCGGTAGTAGTATTATACGCTAGTATCTACATAGTACAGTATATGAAGTGGATGGTGTTTGTGTGTGTGTGTGTCTATATATATATATATATATATATATGAAATTAAAATGGATGGATATGCACGGCAGAATGAAGCAGTGATAGTGAGTGAGGTGGGGTTCAGAGACATAAGAGGAACGTGCCTGGACGAGAGGGCAATCGTACTGGACTGTGCAATGGTAGGGTGCAGGAACATACAGGCGGAGCAGATACACATAACTTCCATTGATCCTAACAAGACTGCCTCTGCTTTCTGCAATTACGCTTTTGGTTCTGCTCATGACACTTCCCCTCCTGTCTCTTGCCTCTCTTCCTAATTCCCGTATTCATCAATCACTTTGTCTAAATTATGATGTGTGCGTGTGTGTCTATATATATATATATATATATATCTTCTATATCTATTCCGATCCTTTCTTTCCCGTTATTATGTGCTTTTATATGCCACCGTCATTTTTTATCATTACCTACTGCGCTGCTAATTTGATGCTAACATAATGCACACATTTATTTGCTTAGATATTATATAATGTATATTAATTAAAATGCCTAAGGAAAGGATATATTAGTTAAATTTTTTGAGATTAACTTGAATGATAAGATATCTTTGAATAATAATATATTTGTGACAATCAAGTATTTATCACTTTCTTTTCTTGTTACCATTTGTTGTAACTTTTCCCTCCCCACACGCCGCCAATTAGAGAAAGATTAAGATGGGAAAACTATAATTTAATGAATCTTAAGGATATAACATCAAGAACTTGTTAAAATTTTAGGAAATTCAACCATATACCTAATTTTAACAAGTTGTTTTTAGTCGTGGAGTGCGTAGTCATTAAAAGCTCCTTGTAAGGTCGTATTAATTTCTATTATCCATGGTTGATAACTTTGGTCATCCAAGCAAGAGTAAAACTTAACATTGAAAGATCTTTTGTGTGTGTAGGCTTTTGGAAAGTATTTAAACAATAGATACAATTAAACAATAGAAAGATATTTTGTGTGTGTTGGCAATGGTAAGTTAATTTGAAACTAGCTTTTCTTTGACGGAATCTGAAGTTATCTTTTTAGATAATATCTTAATTAGATACAATTAAACAACAGAAAGGATGCAGGCCCCAAAAAAAAACAATAAAAAGGAAGAGCAAAATTTAAAATTCACAGGAGAAATGAGAAAGAGTGCTTGATTCTAGAAGAAGATGAGGAAGCGGATGCAAATTTTGAAGGGAAAAAAAAAAATTGAAGTTGCTCTTTCCAGTCTCGTATAAAGGGCAAGAGCAGATTGAGATCGCCCAAATTATAAACATTTATACAAATGACTGTGCTCTTAAATTTTCTTCTCTCCATTTGTATGTCTTTTTTCTTAATACACACACACATGCGTGTGTGTGTGAATCTTCTTCCGTAGACCATAGTTTTATGTATGAGAAAAGCTTCATTTCTTTTTGGTTGAAATTTAATGGGGTCGATCAATAATGATATCCATTATGTTTAAAATGATTATACTCCCTCCGGTCTTAAATATAAGTTTCATTTTGTAATATAAATTACATTACAAAATGGTTTTATATCTAGGATAGGAGGAATATGTTAAAACAAGATGCAGGATGAGATTGAGAAAGCAAAGCTATAATGAAATGTTTTAAATTTTCACAATATATAGTGATATTTAAGTGAATTCACCTAACCATTATAAGAAAAAGCTAGAGTTTTCCTTTTATACATATTAAGATATTACTCCTCAGGTCCTAAATATAAGACTAATTTTATATTGTAAATTAAACTGTAAAACAGGTATATTATAAAATGGGTCTTATATTTAGAACAAGAGGAAGTATTATTTTCGTGTTGGTATAGAGAGTCCGCATTTCCTTGTTTTGTTGGAATATTAATGAAGCTAATTAGAACATGTTGACTCGTCAGCTTGGAGAACAACAAACAAGAAACTCCCTTTCGTAAATTGGTCTCATCAGTTGGAGAAGCCAATCCCCTTTTCATTATCATATCTTAACTCTATTTTCGGCTGAAACTGAATTTCCGAGTTTCACACATACCCATTATTTCTTAATGCGGTTTCCTTTTAGACCTTTTAATTATGCTCCATCGCACAAAATTAAAAAGTTTGCAATCAGAACATGAACTAAAATAGCGATTCAAGTTTTGGTAAGCATAGCAGAAAGTAGATTAACGGGGGTATTATTAAAACCTGGGGTTGGTTTGGATATAGCCGAAACGGTTCTGGCAGTGGAAAGCATCCAAAGATTGGTGCAATAACTCAAAAGGAAAATCCGGAGCAATAAATATAATGCCAACACATCCAAAACTTAGATGCAACCTTTTACACGCTGCTTCTTATTATCACATCCTTTAATGTATAACTGCGGTTTTTGAGAATTAAAAAGCCCTTAACTGATAAAATCCATGGCAAAGTGTTAGGAAAAGGAGAGTGAAGTGGGAATCACGCGAAAGAGGAGAGGGTTTGTTTGTGGAACAGAAAGCTGGTCCACATCCGTCCCAGATCTCGTATCTGCTGACACATTTCACATATTAATTCCACGAAGAAACTGATAATTTCTGTGTGCTAATCTTTAATCTCTCTCACTTCATTAATCCCACTGATCTCACTTTCCCAAATCCCACCAGGCAAGTCACGTCTCTCTCTCTCTCTCTATATATATATATATACACACATGCAGATATATACCAGTGATTTCACTCCATTTCTCTCTCTGTCACTTTCAGAACATTCCCTGTGAGAGCAACAGTCAGCAATGGCGGTCATCACTACCCAGGAGCTCCACATGTTCCACACAAAGGAACGAAACCTTCTGGTTTATCTCATCTGCATTCTGGGTCGCGACCCGATCCAGTCCATCCTCGCCATTTCCCTCTGGCTCTGGCTCGAGCACGTTGCTCGCCCCAACCTCGTCCCTGAAATCACCCTTCTCAACCCCTCACTTATCAACGCCTTGTTCAACGAGGCCATTCTCTGTCTTCAGTGTCTGGAATACTCCGACGCCGACGAGCCTCTCTCTTACAGCTCCACCATCCCCCTCACCGCAACCATCACCCACATGAACCTCACTATGCTTGTCTTTAACCGTCGACGATTTACCATCATCGCCGGGATTAAAAGCATTATCAGCAACATCTGTTGCAAGATCTTTAACGATATCTTGTCGCATGTGTATGGCATCGCTGGCACCAGCTCGAGTGGTCCGCCGACCCCCGTGATGGTGCCGGGCTTTCCGCACTCCGTGTACGGACCTTTCATGCCGAAGAGGCCGGAGTGGGATTTTCGGGACGAGAGGTTATGGTGTGACCGGTGGTGGAGACCGTCCAGTGACGTTTGGGAAGAGGACAAGACCATGTTCCTGACGTTTTCTAAAGGCTTCCCGGTGACGCAGGAAGAGGTTTCGCATCTGTTCATGACCGTGTTTGGGGAGAAAAGCGTGATTTACATATTCATGGGAAATATGTCGGAGGAGGAGCGTGCGCCGCAAGAGGAGGCTCTGTACGCCACCATGCTGGTGGATAGCGTGGAGACGGTGGATCGGATTCTGGTGGGAAGGAGGCTGGCCAAGTATAAGATCAATGGGAAGGATATCTGGGCTCGTAAGTACGAGCGGCGTGGGTAGAGCGTCCTCCTCCGTCGACGACTGAAACTGACGCCACCTTCGACCATGGCGGCGCACCTAGAATGTTCTAAAATTAGCTATATGCCAAAAATCTGAGAAAAATCTATAAAGTTATATAAAAAGTGTCTAATTATCCTTTTTGTTTGTTTTCTTTATCGGTCTGATGAAGCACATGTTTTGTTATGCAGCGCGCAGGATACTATACGAGTCTTCATGGGGAGTCCAATTACATGCATATATAGCAACCGTCTCGTGTATGTGCTTGTGAATATATAAAATATAAAAAAAATTTATTTAAAATATCTAATTCTTGTATTTGAAAATGATGTTTCTTTGAGGGCCTTTCTCCATGGACTTGAGATTGCCTTTAAAAAAAAAGATCACTACAGGAAAAAAGGGGGGGGGGAGCTCAAGCGGGCGACAATGTCATGATTCGGGAACAGTTGGTGGGTGTACGTTATTTGCATATGTGTCAAGTACTATTTTCTATTTATTGGCTTATGTCCATTTTTTTAGGAGAGGTACTTGTTTAGTTGTCTCTACTATTTAAGAAAATATGCATATTCAGAGAGCGAACTGCAATATGAATGGTAAAGTCTAAGAAACAAGTCTAGGTTCTTTTGTTTTGTTTTACTTTTAAAAAAGAAGAAGTAATCGACATGTGTCTTTTTTGAAATGTATTACTTCCGATCCTAATTATAAGAGCTAGTTGATTAATTTGAAGAGATTGAAAAAAATTAAATTAGTTATTTGTAATAAATAAGTATTGTCTTTCCTAAAATATCTTTACTAATAAAGTGTATTGGCCATAATTAACATTGTTAGAAGGATTACCTTGGAAAAAAATATATAAATATGGGAAACAAAGTAGATTGAGGTCTTATATTTAGGATCAAAATAAAAGTCAAACAAGTCTTATATTAAAGACTAGAGGTAGTATTAAATTTAACACACTCATGCACTAATCCAAAAACACACCCATACTCATAAGAATACAGGTTAAAACTTGTAACCAAAAAAAAAAAGTATGCAGGTTAAAACTTGTAACCTTCCTTAAATGGAGAAAATGTTGTGCCGCTAAGCTCAAGATTTTTGACATCGATATGTGCTTTTGACATAAAAATTTTTGCAACAAAATTAAATTAATCTCCTTTTTTCCACGAAGGCGCCTGCATATAAATATTTTATTCGTAATTTGTTTAATTATTTAAATTAGAAAAGACAATATAAGAACAAGCTAATATCAATTAACAAAATGTGGATGGAATAAATGTTTCATAAAAACCCTCTTTTAAGTTACAAAATACAGAGAACGATGATTCGTAATTAAATAAATAACTGAGAATATTTAAGGACAGTAATTTAAATAAAAATATTTATAGATACGCTGTCATGATCATATTAATAAACTAATTAAGTACAGAAATATTAAAGATATATAGTGTAAAGAAGTTGTTAAAACTTTAGGCAAATAAATTTAACAGAACACCTAATTTTTTTAGTCCTGAAATTATTAAAAGGTGCTAGCAAGGTTATATTTATCCCCATTGTGAATGTAGTTGATATTTTTGTCTCATAAAAAAAAAGTTAAACTTAACAAAGAAAGATATTATATAACATATATATGCAATAAATAAGCTGAGTCAGTTGATTTTGTGAAAATACTTTAATTAAATTGATATACTCACTGGGCATTTTCCTTCTTAACACTTTCATCAATACTATACGTTTTCGCCCGCGGCGCGTCTTACTATAACTATATATGCCTCTCCTTTATATCAATCTCTTCAAACTTATATGCCTTCCACAGATATACCACCACAAAAGCAAAATGTTATTTATTGTATGATTGGGAATACGCGGTAAAAACTGGGGTGTAAATATATAAAACAAACATTAAGTTGTTTTGTACTTTTCTAGCTTAATCATTTTTTTTTGGCTAGCAACAATAATCTAATCTAAATCCAAAAGTACAGTCATAACATTGTCATCTCTTAGTCTCTCTCTTTCTCTCATGTTCTTTTCGGGTATGTTAAAAACACAAACAACTTTTTTCCTTATGTTTCATCACAGGGTATATTTATCACTTTGCCACACTTTTATACACATTAGAATAGAAATTGAGACAACCCAGTAGGATAGAATATTCTCTCCTAGCTTAATTCATATGAGAAAAATTTATTTCTTTTTAGTTGAAGTATTCGATAATGATATCCCAGTTTGTGTTTTTATGATTATATTATGTTAAAGCAAGAATCAGTATGAGACTAAGAAAAGCATAGCTATAACAAAATGTAAAATTTGCCTAATAAGTATTAGTAATATATACTCCTCCGGTCCTAAATATAAGACTCTTTTTGTAATGTATTTTTTTTGTAATATAATTTACACTACAGAAAGAGTTTTATATTGAAGACCGAAAGAGTATATTTTTAAGCAAATTCACCTGACCTAACCATATAAGAAGAAGAAGAGAGCGTTTTCCTTCTTATATAGACTAGCAATATTATTTGAGTGTTAGAGGCTCGCCGTTTCCTTGTTTTGTTTGAAATGAAGTTAATTAGATGTTGATTGACCAGCATGGGGAACAAACAAAACTACTCCCTTTTGTAAATTGGTACATATCATCAGTTGGGGAAGCCACACACACATACCCTATGTTATCCCCTTTCACTCTTTTTTCTCCTGAAACTGAATTTCTGAGTTCCACATGCACTTCCATCAACATAGCTAGCAAAGCTTCCACATTCATTTCTTCTTTAGTGACTGCGGCTTCCTTGTATACCTTTTAGAATCAGAACATGAACTAAAATAGCGAGTCAATTTTTGGTAAGCAGCAGAAAGTAGATTAACTGAGGCAATTTAAAAGCTGGATTAATTTGTATATATAGCCGAAACGGTTCTGAAAGCGGAAAGCATCCAAAGACTAAATGCAATAACAACTCAAAAGGAAAATCCCGAGCAATAAATGCCAACACAGTATACAAAACTCAGATGCAACCTTTTACACGCTTCTCAGTAGGATGATCACATCTTTTAATTTAAAGTACATATAACTACAGTTTTGAAGAAATAAATAAGGGATTAACCAATAAAATCCATGGAAAAGTAATATAAAAAAGAGGATAAAGTGGGAATCACGAGAGAGAGGAGAGGGTTTGTTTGTCCACATCTGTACCAGATCTCACATATTCCGCGATGCTCACATCAGTTCATTCTATAAGCTCCTAAATTTCTGCGTGCCAATCACTTTCCTAATCCCAACCAGGCAGGTCACGTCTCTGTATATATGCAAAACAGTGGTTTTACTGATCCATTTCTGCATGTCAATTTCACAAGCTTACCTGTTAGAGCATTAATGGCGGTCATCACTGTCCAGGAGCTCCACATGTTCCACTCAAGGGACGCAACCTTCTGGTTTATCTCATCTACAATCTCAGTCGTGAGCCGCTCCAGTCCATCCTCGCCATTGCCCTCTGGCTCTGGCTCGAGCATGTTGCTCGCCCCAACCTCGTCCCGGAAATCACCCTTCTCAACCCCTCACTTATCAACGCCTTGTTCAACGAGGCCATTCTCTGTCTTCAGTGTTTGGAATACTCCGACGCCGAAGACTCTCTCCCTCACCGCCTCGCCATCCCCCTCACCGCAACGCTCACCCACATGAACCTCACTCTCACCGCCTTTAACTGTGGACGCTTTACCATCATCGCCGGGATTAAAAGCACTCTCAACAATGTCTGTTGCAGGATCTTTAACGATATCATGTTGTATGTGTACGGTATCGCTGGCACCAGCTCGATTGGTCCGCCGACCCCCGTGATGGTGCCGGGATTTCCGCACGCCGTGTACGGACCTTTCATGTCGAACAGGCAGGAGTGGGATTTGCAGGACGAGAGGTTATGGTGTGACCGGTGGTGGAGGCCGTCCAGTGATGTTTGGGATGAGGACAAGACCATCTTCCTGACCTTTTCTAAAGGCTTCCCGGCGACGGAGGCAGAGTTGTCGTATCTGTTCATGACCGTGTTTGGAGAGCAAAGCGTGGTTGAGATATTAATGGGAAATCTGTTGGAAGAGGAGCGTGCGCCGCAGGAGGAGTCTCTGTACGCCACCATGCTGGTGGATAGGGTGGCGACGGTGGATCGGATTCTGAACGGAAGAAGGATCGCCAAGTATAAGATCAACGGCAAGGACATCTGGGCTCGCAAGTACGAGCAGCGACGAGCGTAAACCCTCCTTCGTCTACGACGACTGTAACTGAAGCCACCTGAGCTAAGCTTCGACAATGGCCAGCGCACCTAAAATGTCGTAAAATTAGCTTAATGACAAAAGGAGATAAAAAGCTAAAGACAAATATATATATATATATATATATATATATATAAGTCTGATTATGCTTTTTGTCTGTCGTCTTTCTGTGTCCGATGAAGCACATGTTTTCTAAGGCAGCATGCAGGACATTGGATGGATCTTCATGGGTAATCCCTATTACATGCATATGGCAACATTCTTGTGTATGCGCTCGTGAATGTATTAATCTATATCCTTTCTATATGGTAAAACCAGGAGTACAAGTTGCCAGTTCCTCACAATGGATTTTTTGCGTATTCTGACTTTTAAATCCCGTATTTGAAAGTGATTCTTCCATGGCCTTCAGTAACCAAACAACACTCACATGATTCGTGAATGTATAGTTGTGGGGCCGTACGTAAGTTCTTGTACATACATATGCTTTGAGTACCATTTTCTATTTATCGCCTTATGTCCTTTTTCCCTAAAAAGGAAACGTGCTTGTCTAGTCGCCTTTATTATTTAAATGACAGAGTAAAATATTCTGACCTCCCTTCTCTTTTGTCTTAATTACATGAACCTCCTCTCTATTTTGATAACATACATTTTAGTCTAAGGGTGTGTTTGGATGAAACCAAACCGTGGTTTGGAAAAGTGATTCTAGAGAATAGATTCTGGAGAAAATAGATTCTGTGAAGAATAGATTTTGTAAA